ACGTGGACGTGGTTGGCCTTCAACCCCATCGTTCCTTGTCAAGGAGAGAATCCTTCTTGTTACTTGTAACACAAGGCCTCCTCTATTCTCTATGGTGGAACAATCTGCTAGCCCACTATTGTAAACTGCAGAACCACGATATTGCACTACATTTTAGGATCGTTATCCTTGTACATATTCTAAGATTAGGTACATGTTAGAAATACAATAGTCATCAGACCACCTGCGACATAACGAGATGACGGAGGTTTGAGTAACAAACTAACTGTAAAAGGCTACGCCAGATTGTCTAACTGCCGCCGTAGCCCGCAATAGTGCGTCATCGTGCTTATGCCAAGGTAGTGGCACTGATGCCTAAATACTGACATCTTGCCCTACGGTAAGTGCACCGTCCTAACATCACTTCTTCCATCATACACATGGCAGAACAGACTAATATACCGTACGCATCTTTCAGTTCATATACATCCTTCATTGACGTGTTGACGTCAGTCGCCGATTTAACACTTATAATGATGGATCTAGTTATACGCTCCAACTCAGCACCAAGATATGCGATTGTCTGCCACGCGAACTTCGCGACCGAGTATACTCGCTCCTAGACCTTGACAAGGAGACCAAACAGTCTAAACCCATTGACAAATTCGTCAGTGACCAGTTTTGCGAACAATTCTCTCGAGAATGCCTACTTTGGTACTACGAGAACGTGCCGCAAATGCTATATCGGCCATTCTATTACCAGGACATCGAAAAATTCATGCATCTCTATCCCAAAGTTAAGAAGATCCCAGGTTTGACCATCGTCTTGGAAGCAAGCCAACCAGACTTCGAATTTGAGGATATCACAACACTGATGGACAAATTCAAGGCTACTGGATACTTTGAAAACCTCAACAGAGACTTCAAAGTTCGGGTTTACATTGATCTAGCACATCATGCCATGTGGCGTACGATGAACCCAAATGTTGAGCAAGCCATCATAGTTTCTCAACGCATCCTCGAGTATTTCAGAACGCGCACCGAGGACACTTTATGTTTCCTACGGTTAAAAGAAGCTGAGGAACATGAGGTTAGAGAAGTGGGATTAGACATCACAGAGATCATGAAGGAGGAGCCAATGAGCGAAATATTAGAAAGATTTGGGATCCTTGTCGTCGTGGGAATGGAAGTTTCGCCTCCAAGGTATGTAAAGGTTGAGATCTTTAATAGTACTGTACTGTGGGGCTAACATGCTATAGATGGATTGAACAGCCTTTCAGGATGTCTATGAGGAAGAAAAAGCTGCTAGAACTAATCTAGTCTTCATATTTATACTTATTGCGAAGCAGCTTTTTTTAGGCAAGGGGTGACCAGGGCTTTAGTTAGAGTTGACAGGTTGCTGACGGTTATTAGTACTGCGTATCGCAACGGGACGTCGAGTTAGCATGTGTCACGCTGCTTACTAGTCGGCGTATGAATGCGAGGTGATTTTTGTGTCTTTTTGCGAGTTCCACTCTTATTCAGCGAACATATTAGTTTACAACGCGTTAAATGCGAGATAAATGTAGGAAAGAAGTGGCTATAGGAGATTTACAAGTAAAATGCCGATAATATACTATATATTTATAGTTAAGAGGTTGTTGCCTGTTACGATACTAACGCCAACTTTAAGTAGCCCATAAGGATCTTTTAGCATACCGTCTATAGATTGGGCTGCGCAGACGCTTCTAAACATGATAGCAACGCAATCTAGTAATAATCAGTGCTGATGACGAAGCTAGGAGCGGTCTGCTTACAGAAAATATGTGGTCGCTCACCTAAGAGAGATTAGTGCTTTTTCACTGTAGCCATCGGTTTAGATCGTATGCCTCTAGCTATACACTAAGCTTGTTCTTCTATGCACTATATATGAGCTCCCACGTCTATTAAACCTCTATCAAGCCTTTCGAGTATAGACACCAGCTCTTGTTCTTAGAATTTAGTTCGTCTAGAAAGTGCGTAATAGCGTCATTAAATAAAATAGAAGATAGATAATTCCTATACGCTGTAAGTGTTAAAAGTACATATAGTGTTTTAATGCTGTTCGATATAATAACTAAAAGCGTAATCGCAAAGCTAAATTGTAGTTTGTAGCGCTCCTGGTTGTTTGTGGCACCGTCTACCTCAGGAACTTTGAGAGATTGACCGAATCAGGATAAATCAAGAATCCCAAACAACTCTCAGAAGCAATCAAAGAGTTGTATCCTGACCGATTCAATACCGGTGCCCTGATTGTTAGTAGTAGAGCTACATTTCCTTTGCGTAGCCACCTTTAAGGCTGTAGCGTAGCTTGTATTGGCTAATTGGACAAATCCGTTTGATCAATTTGTAGGGGTCGAGATAAAGTGAGATGGTTCTGAATATGCAGATCCTTGGCCACCATTAGTGTGACGATACCTGGCTCAGCTCCACCTAGGCCACCACGTACCCAAAGGAGGTACAGTATACTGCATTGGCAGTATCTGGAGCTGAATAGCATATACATATGAAAGTTAGACTGTCGGTTGTATATGATTACATACGATGCGAAAACATTGCCTTGGAGCCGGAATAGATATAGGTCGATATCATGCTTCAAAATATCACAAAACAAGTCGGTTGTTGTACAAAACTTGGCTATGCTTCCCTTTTCTCTGTCTGGGTTAGGGCGAGATGATTCAATGCAGTAAGCCGTGCGATTGTTTTCTGGCGATTTGTCGGAATAGAATTATAGATATTACTTGTAACGGCGCGAGCAAGACTGTCGGATCTGTATCGGTGAGAAGTGTCACTCAGAAGCATATGGGAGTGCGTGGGACAGCAGAAACACCTTTTATTCGATACACACTTAGAGCCCTGGTACGACAGAATATCAAAGGTCTACCGAACATCTATGAAAGGTAGCAGGTACTTATACCTTAATACGGGCCTTCGTCGGATCTGTCCCGGTCCCCAGTCGCATCTCGATAAGCCGTCTCATCTGGAGTCGGTCTTGAGTATAGCATGGCCACTGTTCGATCTAGTCGAGGCGACGAAGTAAAAGTGGGATAAATATTGTAGGTAACTAGTCCATAAAGAGTTATCGATAATATAGAGGCAGAACTTTGCAGCTTGATAGCAGTATCAGAGTGGATGTCTTGGGGCGACTGGGGACATAGAACTTTTGGGTCAAATTAATCCTACGCGGATCCGCAGCGTTAAAGAGTAGAAAGAAAAGGTAAGTTATAAGGGTAAGCCCAGGAGTGATTTTGGGTAAATTCTAGAGATTTAAGAAGTGATAAACAAGAACAACCCTAATAAGAGAACTTGTTCTTAACCAAAAATATAATAGTCGGCTCTCACCATAGATATACAAATCCTGATAATGAACCCCTATTCGACTGTTCAATCACTCTTTATTTAAGCTGCGGCATTAGAATACTACACTTAGCGGCTTATCTAATAGTCATAGCCGCAAATAAGAGGGTTCAAAAGTTAAAATAGCTAGCATCGCCTCTAGCTATTGTAGATTTATTTGAGTATAGCTTTATTATTTAAAAATGTAACAGAGTATACTTTGCCTAATCTATGAAGCTTAAATCACTCGCTTGTTCACAAAACAAGATCTTTAGAACTAGTATATCGGAGCTTTTACGAGACGTTTAGGCATGCGATAATGTCGGAATCTTTGAAGAATAGAGGTTCCTTCTCTTCATGTGCTTTTTCGGATATAAGCCATGGCATGTGATGGATAATCTTGCCTCTAGGATAAATATCATCTCATCCAAAGTAGAAAATCGGTGTAGGTCAATCTTGGTACCGCTGACCCAAAACCAGGCACCAGAACTGGATCTCCAGAAGTTAGGCTTGGCTAGCGTCGGAACTTCACTGGACTGAGAATCACTGATAGTTACAAATGAAAAAGGCAAGAAAACCAGTGGGCTATCCTTCCAAACTAGGCGACCCTTTCATCACCACATATGTGCAATCAGGTGTATTCGAGAGAGAAGTAAGAGGCAAACAAGTGCAACAACAAGGTGTTAGATATTCATTCGAGAGCACAGGAAATAGCACGCACCTCTGCTTGGGCTGGACGTGCGACTGGTGCCGGAAAGCCCTGTTTGAGATCAGCTAGTCACTGCCTAGAGCAATACTGTTGCGACTTATTGTCCCAAATTGTAGACAGCGAAACACTGGCGGTTTGCACCTTATTTTTGGCACCGAGTCTGATCATGAGTTCTAGGTCATGGACACTGCGCAAGAAAAAGAAAGGCAGGAGGATGAAGCCTATATCACAACCACTTTCAAAAACAGAGGCATACCTGGTTAAAAACGTACCGTTAGCTCCACATCCTGTGGGCTTGGATCCAATTACAAAGATGAAATTCTGGGTTCAGGAGAGAGCCCTCCAGAGACTGCTTGCGAGCTATGATCACTTTTATAGCCTAACATGTGCTACCGAATTAATCTACGATACACACAATCTTGCCAGCATTCTCGCTCCGTTCAATTTGGTCGTGTATCTGCTGAATAGTCGTCCATGATGCAGTGTGATGAAGAATGACCGAGAGAGCACCAGACTCGAATCCGGGCATGAATTCCTCCAAACGGCGCCGGAGCTTCTCCTGATACGCCTCGTCCCTGGAACGTAGCGTGCTTCCTTCAATACGAATCCTCTTCATTAGAATGGGCGAAATGTCAGCCTCTTCGACCTTCATCCCTCCCATCCTACCTAACATGACAATGCGAGCGTCACGGGCTGCAACGGCCATGTTGCGCTGGAAGTACGGTCCTCCAACGTAATCGACAATGTAGTCGACGCCCTTGCCTCCGGTTGCCCGCATGATTGCGTCAACAAAGTCTTGGGTCTTGTAGTTGATGGCCATGGTGGCGCCAACCTGCTCTGATGTGACGAGGGTGCACTTGGCCTCTGTGCCCGCTGTTGCAAAGATGGCTGATGCACCAGCCGCCCTAGACAACTGGATACCCGCAATCGATACACCAGAGGCGCCCGCGTGCCACAGAATTGTCTTGCCCTTTTCGAAGCCCAGCACAATGTGCAATGCCTGAATTGCGGTGATCCAGGCCTCTGGGATAGCGGCGCACTGCGCAAACGACAGTGCCTGCGGTTTGCGAAGTAGCATGCCGGTGTTGACAGCAACATATTCGGCGTAGGCGCCTCCGTACGCAAGCCCAAAAACCTCATCCCCCTCCTTCAGTCCGTGAACGTTGCCGCCCCCTAGAGACTCAATAACGCCGCTGAATTCGACGCCGAGAGTGGCAGGAGCCTGCGGAGGCACGGGATACCCGCCTCGTCGCTGCGAAATGTCCATGCGGTTGATACCAAATGCTGCGACTTTGACCACAGCCTGCCCGACCTTTGCTGTCGGCTTCGGGCTCTCAGAATTGATGAACAAGTCCTTACTCTCCCCCCTGCCCCCGTGAATATCAACTGCTCTCATCGTGGTGCCTGTCATACTGTCTCTTCAGATTATGAGTAGATATCAAAAGCTAGTAGCATGCCACATCATGATCGGCTCGACAAGCAAGAGTTATATGCCAGTGGCAAAGCACAAACTACGGGACTTGTATGCCGGCTGCCTCGCACTCTCCAAAGGATAAAATGTGTGCCGGGTAAAGTGGTATCATTTGTAATATGTGCTGGTCACATTGCATTGCCATTTTGGTCGTGGAACCAAAACTAAAACGTAATAATGTAGTTAGTATTAATTCATAACTAGTTAGCTCAAATACTGCTAACCTAATATAAGCCGGATTCTACTTATAAGGCGGAATCTGCCTAAGCTCCACGAACTTGTCAAATGCGTCCGTCAGAGACTGGAACGAGTCGATATGACCTGTCCAGCCCAACTTTCGCGCTTTATTAATGCTCAGAGTCGCCGACCATGTGCGCTGAAACACCCAGTCTTGGAAAGCCCATGTACCTGACTCCCAAGTCGCCTTTGCCTCAGGGCACCCATTCTTGTCACAGATCCTGTCCCAGGCCTCGCGCTTGCCGACAGACCACTCTGCTAAGCTGAACTCGAGCTGCGTAGAACCCTCCAAAGGTCGCGGCTTCATGAACTTTTGGTCGCTTGTTGCTGAAGCACCCAAATGCTGGGCGATGCGCGGCCAGAGGTACCTCCACGAGAAGTAATCGCCGTTGGCGACATTAAACGCTTGGTTGCGGGACTTGTGCGTCGTTGATGCCCAAATGGTCAGGTCTGCAATCAACCTTGAATCAGAGAGGTCGTCGTAGCCTTCCCAGTACACTTGGTTTGTTGGCATCTTTGCCTCTTCGCCGAGCTCTTTGCAAACTAGCAGATACAAGGCAAATGTCAACGCAGAATTCATGCCGTTCGGCTTTGAAGTATGCCCAATGATGGCCTCGGGGCGGATCACGTTCCAGGACCAGCTCTGGCCCTGTTGCCGCTGGATTAAGTAATCTTCTTGTTGGAAATAGAAGTTTCCAATGGGACTTTCCCTTCGTTTTTCTTCCTCTCGGGCAGGAGAAGGAACCGGACCAAGGTGAACATTATAATGTTTGCCGCCGGTCTGGAGCGTGCAGTTTTGCAACCTGGGTGCAACGGTAATGAGAGCGTCGAGAAAGTTTTGGAAAAGTTGCTCGTTGGCAATATTCAGGTCCTTGAAATCGTCCTTATGGACGTACGAGGAGAAATAGGCATGTGTAACCTCGGCGCATGTAGAACCCATCTCTTGGACGAGAGTATCGGATTTCTTGCTAAGATCCAGCGCAATAAAGGTGATGCGTGGATCCTGGACAGTGGTCTTGAATGGTGACCTTGAGGTCACAATGATTTTGCTCCATTCTTGTCCAGTCGTGTTATTGACAAGATACTCCAGGATCGCTCCGCCAGAAATGCCGTTACCACCCGTGATGAGAGCGACGTTCGGCATGATGTCGTGAATAAAACAATGGATGTAGAAAAGGCTTGCCGGGGAATAACTCTGATCAAACGAGAACGAGCTGAAGTATTGCTACGTTCTGAAAACATGTGGCAGAGAAAGAAGGCAAGTTTTATAACCTTCATTCGTCTAGATCCTATCTACTAGCATACTATAGTTCAGCAACGAATCCAGTACCCCATCCTTCCCCGCATCCCCAGCCTTTCTGTAGAGATCCATCAGGAGCCGCAAAATACCAGTCACTAAGTGGCATGTTTTCATTGATTTGCGCATGCAGGTCTTGCCAGAAGGTCTGCTAATAGGGGCCTGTGGCTTCTCTAGCCGGCTGACGTGGTACGGTAAAGGTGGTATTAGTCGTAGGCTTCAACCAATCAACGTCGTGTCATCTGCGATGGTCTAATCCGCTTGCAGATCAACCAAATTTGTCGTGCAGTTCAAGCGAAAGTTCTATGCATCTGTGGCATCGGAGTCCACCGAGCAAAAACGATTGTCGTGAAAGATGGATCATGCGATTGCACCTATCCGAGGCACATCGATTATCTGGGCACCTTGGCATAGTCATTTTGACAATCCTTGCTTTACCACACATGCCTGGGTCATTTTGATGAGTTCTCTCTGAAGTTTGAGGTGATTTGAAATCATCCGAAAGACTGAAGCCCGCGCAAAACTACTCTGACTTGATATACGTCGAGCGTTTCGTATTTGCAGAGCACATGGGGACATTGAACAGCCGCACTAGCAGATCATGTTTTTCTATCATGGTGATAATACACCAATCAGATTTTTATCAAAATTCTAATTCTTGCGGCTTTCGAATATGTGCCTCTCATATGCAGTCTTATGGCATTGTTAAAGTCATACTATCTTGGGGACCTGTGCATCGCCATGAAGAATACTCTGCATGACTGACATCAGTCTTACTGTCGGATCTTCTATCATCCTGTGCGATCGCCAGGCTACAAAGTGGTCGGGCCGTACCAGAATCGCACCTTGTTCCTCCACCTCGCGCACTTTGTGCCACTCCTGATAGCAGTCCATGTACTCACCTCCAAAGCCGATCCTGAACCCGCGAATCTGAACTCCTCCAAGCTTGCTGGAAACTTCTTCTGCAGCAGTAACCCAAGCATCTCCTCCAGTACCGGTGAGTAGTGTGAAGTGGCCTTTGCCGCAAAGATCAAGAGTTGAAATTCGTGGTGATTGGCCATTGGCAGCGATCCAAACATGAGGCAAGTGATAACCAGGGTATGTGCTGACCATCACCTCTCTGAGTTGGTTGAGTCCCTCAAAATTAGGTGTTTGATCGTCGCTCTCCGGCAGCGTGAGCTGTGTGAGCGGATAGACCTGATTCATTTGTATACCCAGAGCCTGCACCTCGTCCTCAGTGGCCTGAAGAGCATCTCGAAACATTTTGCGCATGTTGTCACCCTCGGCTGACACTTCCTTGAGCTTATCGGTGGCGATTTGTCGTGACTGTGAGTTTAATCCGATAATTGACCACAGACGCCGATGAGCTTCCATCCCATCGTTCGCACGGCGCACGACAGCATCGCCAACTGGTTTCCTTTCAAGGGTAAGAGTGTCAAGGATTGACGCAGACGCCCAACCTCGAATGACATAGCCTAGTTTCCATGCGAGATTGAATGCATCTGATATACATGTGTTGCTACCAAGACCATTGATGGGCGGATGACGGTGAGTTGCGTCTCCTATGCAAAAGACGCGTCCTTTCTGCCATGTTTCCGCAACCTGATCATTGATGGTCCATGAAAAGGAAGACAAAATTTCGATGTCGATCGTCTCATCTCCAATCATTTGGTATAGACGTTTCAGAATAGCCTCGTTAGTTGGTTGAGCGCTCTTTCCATCTTTTGTTGCCGGATGCATCGACACTACCCATTCGTTCCATGGCCTCACCATACGGAAATTCCCTACTGCAGACCATTCAGGAGCCTCTGTGTTGAGGATCCAGTTGAGGCTTCCTGGTCGGTTTTCAATGTATTTAGAGAGATCTGCCTTGATATGGATGTTGAATGCAGTGTTGAGCTGACGACCAATCACAGGAATCTCCAACGCTTGCAATACCATGCTTCGGGCGCCGTCCGCTCCTATGAGGTATCTGGAACGTACTTTAAACTCTCGGTCGGTCGTTCGATCTCGTAGTGTCGTTTCCACACCGTCATCTACCTCCCGAAAGGAGACAAACTCGGTCGAGAACAGGAATTCAGCGCCAGCTTTTGTGGCTTCATCGACAAGCACAGGCTCCAGATAGCTCTGGGGAAGATCGGACATATAGCAAGGACTTGCTGCCTCATAGGCGCCTTTTTGCGAAGGTTTGTTGCCCCATGCCCAGAGACGACCATATTCTTGTCCGGCCAGTGAATTCAACCATGATGTATGCTGCATATCTGTATCAAGGTCAGTTTGGCAAGGACTTGAGGCCTTAAAAGACAATTCGAACTAACCACTTGCTGGGCTGGCCACGGTGTTCAATCTTTGTTCTAGACCCGCATCCCGCAGGACCTCCATTGCTCTTTGATTGAAGATATGGGCCCTTGGTGTATTTGCAGTGCTCCTGTGTCTCGAAATCGCGAGTGATTTCACCCCGAGACGAGCCAGTAACAACGCCGTAGTTGCGCCCGAGGGGCCATTGCCAATAATTAGTACTGGGTATTCCATGTTTCACCGAACTTCACACTCCACGGAGTAAATACGATCAGTTCTATGAAAAAAAAAAGAAGAGTAAAAAATGTCTTCTCAGGGAGAACATCTGTATGAGTTAACATTTCAAAGATGAAATATATCATCATGTTTCATTTATGTAAAGAATGAAGTCTTGAGATGGTTCTACCTAGGTCTTTGACCAATGGGTGCTTGATCACCCCCATAGCGGTCAGCTCCCGATACTCAAGTGGCATTCTCTTCAGCAATTGGTCCTTGTGGTCCTGCTTCTGATTGAGAACATGCCATTGACAAGCAAATGGCTTGAGGGAACAAAAGCTAGCTTCGTTATTCGAAATGCTGGGGTGCAGCCGCAATCGAAACACCACTTTATCCGAACGTCCATCCCCCGCTCCTCAGTTTCAGCCATGTAAAGAGCCCCACTTCAAGCGGCATGTTCAATGAAGTTGACACTAATGTGATCGAATAAAGCAATCCCCGCGGTTCTTGTGGCCTCGGTTTCGTACTCGCCAAGTGGCTTTCCCCATAAACCAGTATTGAACCGAGGTAGCGACAAGGGTGGAGATCCTGTCTGAATACTTGATACTCTGCGGAAATTAGCGCATATCATGGCGTCATGATCTGGACGTAGTGGTATTCCATGGTTATCTAGTACGATCCTATGCAACTCGTTAGGCACGGGATCGTCAAGTACTTGCAGAAATAGTGCTAGAAAATGCGGAGATGGCCTGTCTCCCGAGTTTGATATTGAGAAGCCTCCATTCTATATTCGCCATTTAGTGAACAGGAGACTTGTAGATGAGAGGCCTCGTGCTGAACTTACTATAAACGAAGAAGAGCTCCTCCCTTCTGGTGACGGCGAGCGAGTCACAACTGTATTGCCACCCCCTCATATTCAGATTCTTCCTACTTGATCATATGGATCTCGACGGCTCTTTTGCGGGAGCGCTGACATCATATCGATGGGTGTTGGTGGTGGCGGCGCTATATCTCTTCAACAGTCTGGTGAGTGTGCTTGCTTCTGCCTCATCACGTAGCAGACGTGGTTGTCACTATACGACTCACATGCGTCTTTTGTTCATCGCAATTTGAATTGATTCATGCTCATCGAATATCATGAAAGCTGCTAAATCCTGATAGGTCTTATATCCTTTCTTGCTTTCACCCACTAGCCATATTCCCGGGCCGTGGTATGCCAGAGTGTCGAAGTTTCCTCTCCGCTATGCTACGTTTAAACGTCGAAGGACGGAATACGTTACAAACCTACTAAACCGATATGGCTCCGTCGTTGTCATTGCGCCTGATCAAGTACACACTACAGATGACATCGCCATGAAGTCCATCTACGACAAGACTTCAATTAAGACAAAATTTTACGCATCCATGGGCAGCTGGAAAGGTGTGACTTCGACACTCGGCTTCCTCGACTACCCATCGGCTTCTCCGTCACGCAACAATCTCATCCAGTGTTTCCAGAACAAGAACCTAGCAGTACTCGTGGAGAATATACAAGCTCATGTCAGTGATTTCATAAAGCTGCTCGAAGCAAAAGCTTCAAAGAACGAATCTGTTGATGGGATCGTCGTCTTCCGCCTCCTCGCACTTGACATCGTTACCGATGTGCTCTGGGGTGAGCAGGACAGTCTAGTGAGGAACCACAGTACCGACAAGGATCCCGACTTTCTAAGGCGTTTCCATGCATTTAGTACTTGGAATGCAATGAAGAGTTTCATACCGGGACTGGATCTCATCGTGAGCTGCGTGGGCAACAAGAAATGGAGAACTCTACGCAACGACTGCAGTGACATGGACGTTACCGCGAGAAATGCTTTGCAGCGATGGAAAGAAAGCGACACAGTTTCTCGTCGCGAAAAAGACGTTCTTTCCATGCTACAGTCAATGAACAAGGCCCATGCTTCTGCGGTGCCCACAGAAGACATTCCTGCATATATGGTAGAGATGCTTGCAGCAGGCTCGTCAACGACATCGCAGACGGCAGCATTTGCATGCTGGCTTCTCACGCGTGACTTGGACGCGCAGCAGCGCTTGCGCAAAGAGCTGATGGAAGCTTTCCCGAACATGGATGACATCGACATCAAACGAAGCATAGATCTCCCCTTCCTTGACGGGGTAATCCGTGAGACGATGCGACTTTATCCCATGATCCCAGGCCCATTGGAACGACATCTAGGTAAAGAAGTCAGCATTGCCGGCAAGAAGGTTGGAAAAGGCGTCATTGCATCCACCGGCGCCTTCAATCAAGGGCGACTTGAAGAAGTGTACCCTGATGCCACGTCCTGGAAGCCTGAGCGTTGGATTAACGCAACTGAGCGAATGAAGCTGAATTGGATTCCATTTGGTCATGGTTGCAGGTCGTGCCCTGGAGCTAATCTTGCAATGACGGAACTGAAGTATATGCTGGCAATGATCTTCCGTACATTCGAGGCAATCATGCCGCCGGGCTTCGAGCAAGATGAGCTGATTTTGGCCGATGTTTTCGCGGCTGGATCAAAGAGCGGACATTGCTGGTTGAAGTTTCAAAAGCTGCCAGGAGTTTCTGCCGGCAAAAGTTCGTAGAGGAAAGCTCGCAATGGGCAACCGTTACAAACTTGGATGAAGCAAAGGAGAGTTTGATTTGTTGAAAAAGAATGTCAAAATTCATTCAGGTGCTATTCAAGCAAATTTTACGCGTACATGAGTGATTGTGTCTGTGAAGAGCGAACACATGGCATAACTATCAGGTGATTATAGCATACTTAACCATTGTCAGTGTCGTTGTAATGGAAATTTCTTGCTTGAAAGTTTATCTGCTGCCTTTGCGAACGATGACCACTGCGCAGGACTAACGCGATCGTATAACTCAACATACGAAGAAAGAATTTTCCGACTGTCAACTGTGTCCACATAGATTGGATCTTCACTCTCCAACACGAGCGGTGATTGTTGTGGTTCTGCAGGGTTTCCGGTGGCACGTGATTCTGAGTACGCCCATAAGATTACTGCTCCGTGATGTAGACCTATGAATGCGAGAAGGTTAAAAAGAACTCTTCTGCTTTCAGGCACCTTGGACTCTCTGGCAATGATGTTCCGCAAGCTGCATGCTCGTTCTGCCACTGCCCGGCCCTTTCTCGACCTTGCCCAGGTGCGGACAGCAGTAATCGTGCTATCGTCTACCACTCGATTGTCAGCCAAGCGATATTGGATCTGATGTAGCTCTTCGAGCGGCGCATTGAGGCGCAGAAACCCAAGGTGAAAGAGTAACAAGCAACTCATCAAGATGCTACGGTCAAGATTGGTCCTGACAAACGTCTTGACAAGGGCCAAGTTACGCTCCCATTTTTCTAGAGCAGAATTGAGCTGTTTACGCTCGTGCATCAAGTCCTCCATCGACCGCGTAGCGCTGTCCAGTTGGTGTGCTTCGGCATCGATGGCACCTCTGGAGGGCTGCCTTGGTCTATGCATTGAACTCGGACTGGCATTCATATTTGGAGATTCGAGACTCTGCGCTGGGGAGGCGATATTGGCCAAGAATTCGTCGCTGCCAACCAGACGGGTAAATAATTCCTGGTCTTTTGAGAAACGCCAGATCGGATACTGCAGACCGAACAAAAGTAGCTCTTGGCCCACAGGATCCAAAGGAGGAAGGGATTCATGTTGGTCCATGGCAATGCGATAAATGTCCGAGGCCCATAGGTGTCGGCCAGGCGTTTGATCGAATTTGATCATTTGCAGACATAGACTTGCAGGCATTTGATCGCTTCGCCATACAGAGTCACACATTGGTAACTGAAGATCGATCTCCTCTAGTGACACCAATGGCTTTGTGTGAAGGAGAACGCTGGTGTACGTGTCAACACGGAAAATTCCAAAGGCTAGTCGTCGGCGAGCTTCGAGCTGCAACCATACCGATAAACGATCATCGTCCGATGCGACGCCTTCCATTTGATGGAATTTTCGCAGCAGAAATCCTGAGGGCTTGGAGGAGAAAAGGTCCATTCTGCGAGCCTGAGCGACCAGTAAAGCGCCTAGGTGGTGAGCATATGTGAAGGCTTTGGACTGTCCAAAGTAGAGTGCAGTTACTTGAGTCAGTAAGCGCGCTTGAGCAAGCCAGATAAAATCCTGGTCGTCATCTTCAAGTTCCAGTGGCATGGTCAAAGTGCGCCGTATACTCGCATGGGCCATAGCGCCATAGTTGCAAGCGTTTTCGCCGCAATACATAGCCCCAATTGATGTGAGGACAAGGAACAACAAAGGGTGAAGAGCATCAATGTCAAGGTTGCGTGGACTCAATAAAGGCCAGAGTGGACCGAAGTGTTCTCCATAGCTCTCGTAGAAGCGAAACAAAGCCGGACGAGACCCTTGTTCTTGCGGCTCCAATAACTCAAAAGCGGCTGCGATTTGAGTGGATGCATGCTGCCAGAACATTGTTCGATTCGTTTCAGAGGAGGGCTGGGATGAATTGCCACATGCATATGTGACCATGTCCTGAATCACACGGTATTGAGAGGTTTTCGGTGTCAGAGTCACGTGCTCATCTAGATCAGGAAGACGTTATTAGAGCTCGGGGTTCTATGGGGATGAGGAACGCTTACCGTTTTGCGCGATCGGGTCTTCGTTCTCCACTGGCGATGGTGCAGAAAGCGATTCAGCAGCAGAAGGATGAGGCGCCGATGCACTGGAACGAGTGAAGCCGTTTGCGATACTATGATGCCGAACTCCCTCATAATGGGTATTGGGATTATCATTCTCAGTGTTGACTATATGAGCTTGGAGAGAAGATGGTAAGAAAGCTGGCAGTGATGGGCCACTGTCCGCCTCTTGAAAGTACGTGGAGTCCCACATGGCAACGTCTGTGGGTAGAAATAGATTTTCGTGGAGCCATGGCCAGGATACTAGGTCGGTCATCGAAGTGTCTCCCATATTGGCAAAGTTTGTATCAGTATGCTGAGAAAGAGGCATGTCAAAGTAATTAACGTTAGGAATAGCAGTTTCTAGCAGTGTCGAGTGGGATTGTTCGAGGTATTCTCCTCGATTTTGTGGCTGCGTGCCTCGAGCTGATTCTCGCGTCCGAGGAGCACAGGGCGGACTTGACAGCGACGTTGCAGCTTCGTTAGCAGGGTCCTGCGAAGGTTCTGGCACTAGGGCGTTTTGCGCATCGTCCGGCTGGTCACTGTCCCGGGCGAGGTGACTCAGCCTGGACGAGTATCGCGAGTATTCGCATTGAGCGTGGTTTTTTTGGCAGGCGGTACAAGGAAGCTGGCCGTTGCATCTTGTCCTCAATTCTCGACATCGAAGGCATGCTGTATGACATCTTTTCCTGGTCGGGCAATGGCCGGAGTCACCGGCACCCGTCGTATCGCGGCTTGCATCGATGGTTCGAGCCTGGTCGGGGTGCAGCTTGACATGTCGTGTCAGTAGATCTCGACGGTAGAAGACTACGCCGCAGGCACGGCACTTGTGCTTCCCCGTGTTCCGATGACTGTGCGAGTGACGGGTCAGAGAATTCTGGTTCCGGTATGTCCTGTTGCATATCGTGCACGTGTACATGCTACCAAACGGCCGAGTTGCGGGGAGGAAGGGGCAAAAGACATTTGCCTCGTCGTGGGCGAAGTGAGTGTCGGCCACTAGCTTTGTCAGCGCAATGCGCACTAGAAAGCAGAGTGAGGGGCGGCGACGCGGACCGGGACTGGGGCTGCGTGCGGGGATTTGGGGGCGGAGCGCGTCCACTCCGAATAGCTAAGTGGTCCTCCGTAGTGGGTACGCATGACGTTGAGTATTGACAGACAGCCACTACTAGTGTGTTTTCTACATGGATATTCCACGGCACATTTGCTATTTGCATGGCTATTCTATGAGTGATTTGCTACAAGCGAGCTGGTCTCCGGGAGACTCATTTCTCAAAAGACATCTTGTTGGAGATGCGGCCAATGCCGCCAATCTCAACAGCCACAACATCGCCATCCTGCAAAAATTGTGGAGGCTTCATGAACAGGCCTACTCCGCCTGGTGTACCCGTCATGATGAGAGACCCTCGCTGCAGAGTCTGCCCTTGACTGCAGAACGCAACAAGCTGTCGCACGCCAAAGCAGAGGTCGCTCGTGTTGCTCTCCTGCCTGACCGTGTCATTGACAAGCGTTCGCAACGATAGACTGTCTGCCTCTCCGAGCACGTGTGATGCCACAATGCAGGGACCCAGCGGTGCATATTTGTCGAAGGACTTGCTGAAGGACCATTGAGGCACAGGCCCTGCCTTGCCAGCCTCTCGCTGCCAGTCTCGCGCAGACACGTCGTTGCCTGCTGTATAGCCTGCCACATAATCCAAAGCGTCCTCCTCAGACACGTTTTTTGCATCTTTTCCAATCACAATAACTAGCTCGCCTTCATAGTCGCACTGCGATTGTGCAATTGCTGGGATGGGGATGTCTTCTCCATGGTTCGCGACCGCGGGCGAGGGCTTGGTGAACACCGTAGGGCAGGTTGGAAGCGGCCGTCCAGTCTCGAGAACTAGTACTGTGTTAACCATGGTATCAACAGTGCAATGGCCATGAACTCACTGTGAGTCTTGTAATTCAACCCAATGCAACGAATAATTGGCACATCGGATGGTTCCAAAGGACCCAACAGTCTTGCAACCTTTTCGACTTTGCCCGTCGATCGTGCTTCAAACAGGTTGTGACCTTCCAGCACTTTCACCTCCAACGTGCCATCCTCGACTTTTTGAGCAATCGCATCTGCTTCGTCTCCCTGTATAATTGGATCACCATAGCGTATTTCACTTGATCCTTGTGGGATATATCGTACAAGGCGATCCCATGAAACTAGATTTGGCGACATGACGGTTTGGAAACGGATTATTGCAATAACATTACAATTCGTTGTTGAGAATTTAAACAACAAAGCTTCTCGCCTGTGTCTCTATTACCGATTCCCCACCTAATGCCGAATGTGCCAGTCCCGTAACTTCGCGGACTCGGCCGCAGTGAATACCATCACAATACCACATTACCCGGTGGAGCTAGTAACCCACTATTTTAGCATGCAAAATGGTGTCACGATGGGCCTCGACCATCATTGCCGCTCAAGGCGCTACCGAGGCATTTTTGCCCATGTGCGCAGCGCCAGTTCGCACCGAGCTATTCTATCCTGGGCGATATTGGTTGAAACAAGGGCCATCTTCCGGCATGCGGAGTCACTAGATTAAGTCCCAAGCTTGAACTTCCATGAAATAGAAATAGATAGCCTGCAGTAGTTCTGAGCATTTATTCGACTGCATCCATCTGTCCGCAACTCACCGGAGGCATCTACATCCTGCAGTCCATAATGATGGCCGTTCCAGGAAGCATCGCACCAAATGTGAGTGCCAAGTAAAAATGTGCGATGACTAGATCCTGGCTGAAATTACAATTGAGGGAACGAAGCTGTGGCTTTTGCACGTGGGCAATGTTGTAGCAGACGAAGCATTTTTCAAAACTGGTGTGAGTGCAAGAACATAACGTGGTGCAAGCAACATAACACTGGTTCTTGGCGTAGGCGAACGTATCCACTGCAAGCAACCCAAACCCACAAACTCATACTCGGCGAAACATGGTTATGATATCGGCCTTGATATCCCATCCGACGGAGGGTCTGGTCCTATTCGAAACTGGAGCGGGTAAAGATTATCCAAATGTTTGGGGTCCCCAGCTGAACGATGTCTTCGCACGAGATAGCTATGTCGAAGATCATGAATTGGACAATGCAATTAGAAAGACTGGAAATGACATCAAAGATGTCAAAGCTGTCATCATGGGGCACCTTCATCTCGATCATGCTGGAGGACTCGAGCATTTCCGAGGCACTGGCATTCCCATCTACACGCATGAACTCGAGATCAAGAATGCTTTTTATAGCGTTGCCAGCAAGACCGATCTGGGTAGGTTTCATTCTCCGCAATCTCAGACATTTTCTATTTGGAGATATGTCTAATCCATTTTCAAGGAGTATACCTACCGACCTACCTTCACTTTGACCTGAATTGGCAACCGTTCCATGGCGATGTCTTTGAATTGGCAGCCGGTTTGATAGTCCGCCATTGCCCTGGACATACCCCTGGCCTCTCCATTTTGCAAGTCAATCTGGAGAATAGTGGAACATGGGTCTTCACGTCAGACCATTATATTGTGAAAGAGAACTATGACTCCCTTGCGACCCAAGGATGGTTTACCAGAGATCATGCCTCTTGGTCGCGATCGAACCAAATGGTTCATTCCCTACAGAAGCTGACCGGTGCGAAACTAATCTTTGGACATGATCGCGATGTCTTCTTTGAATACAGGATAGCTCCACAATTCTATGATTAGATTCAAGGGTTGGGAGATGATATATCTAAAGCTGTAAACTTGACCTTCAAATGTAAGATTGATGTAAATCGGGTACCTAGGTAGAGGCATAGGCTCCCAAATCGAAAATTAGCTTCCTTGTCAGTTTCCACAATTAGATGCACAAGGTCTCAAGCTCCTGAGCTTCTGTATACGCTTTGAAATGAGGATTTAGCACACTTGTCAAGCCCTTCCTTAGTGTTCAATACCAAGTTTTCTTATGTCCATGCACAACAACTAGCCCTACGCCGAGGGGACATGCGCAAGCCAACAATGTGCAAAGCTATAGGCATTGGGTAATAATGTCAGTGTATCATGTAGTCTATGTATAGACTGCCACATGAAAACGATTAGAAGAAGCACTTAAATACTTCTTTCAGCGAATTGCATGTGGTCTACCTAGATACGCAGCTGACAAAGTAGTGTGGGCAACGGAGCGGAACGCTACACCACCCAAATCGTTCACGACAACGTTATTACTATATCAGATAAGTAGCATTTTTTACTAAAATTTCTAAAGCTATAGATTTATACAAAATAGTTAGTTATCACAATTTCGTTATTTCTTTGGATATCACAGCACTAATAGTCTATTGATCTACCCTCTAACTGTATCTAACTACTATACTCTATTCTTTCTAGCATGCTATAAATGCGTTTGTTTAAACCTTTGGATAACTCTTCTTTCTAAATTTCGTAAGCGAGCTGGTAAGTCTCAAACTCATCCTAATGTAAATACTGCTTCGGTGTGGTGAGAGGGGGAGAGGGCCCCAGCGTTTTGGTGTCCGCACTATTTTGTCAGCTGCGTACTAATTAGGTTTCAAAGTGCGGGGATGCCACCAAGACAGCACCACTTTATCCGTTCCCCAGAACAAGCGACTATTGACCCTAAAGCTCGGAATCCGGCAATATGTGTCTCGTAAGCAAGTCAAGAAGTCTTGGGATTCCGCATTGCGTCACCCTGACTAATCTTTGAGAGAAGGAACCACTTCCGCCTATGATTATAGATATACTGCGCCAAACTGCGTATGCTGAAGTTAGTAACTGAAACAGGAATTCTTCAGAGACAACTCGCTCTCTTACCAATAACCCTATCTTTGTTCTTCATACCTGTATCATAAAGTCACTCATGTCTACTCAAACCGAAGATGCAAGGCTGCGTCTCAAGAGTACGGCATTTGTGATCTACTACCACGCTGATCTCGCCAAAGCTCGTCAATTCCTCCTTGACTTTGGTCTTTCTATTGCAAAGGAGACCCCAGGGGAAGAAATATTCTTTCAAGGCTATGGCGAGGAGCCGTTCGTTTACGTCGCCCGTCAAGCGAGCGGAACGGCTTATTTCGAGGGAGCTGCATACGAAGTCGAAAGTAGAGATGAGCTAGAGCGAGCACGCAACTTGAAGGGTGCAAGCCCCATTATCTCGCTGGATTCCCCTGGTGGAGGGGAATACGTTAAGCTCACGGATCCGGTGGGGCATCATGTTTACCTTGTTCATGGTCAGACAAAAAAAGTACCAGAAATGCCAGCATTGAAGAAGCTCGTGGTGAATTACGAAGACGAAAAGCCAAGAAAGGGAAGATTTCATCGCTTCGAGCCTGGCCCCGCACCTGTTTACCGTTGGGGTCATTATGGTGTGACGTATCCAGAAGGTAGCTATCAGGAAATGTACGACTGGTACACTAAAACCTTGACATTGGCACCATCAGACATTGTCTACAAGAATGAAGAGCCCATAACCTGCTTCTTTCATATCGATCGCGGTCTAGAGTTCACTGATCATCATGCTTTCTTCTTTAAGCGTGCCAAACCAGACGCGAAACCTAGCGTTGCGCATGCCGCTTTTGAGATCCATGACTTCGACGTCCAACAATTGGGCCATAATTACCTGGAGTCTAAGGGATATGAAATTTGTTGGGGCGTAGGAAGAGTAAGTGGCATGGAGTCTAATAGGATCTTACAAGTCTGACAAGCCTACAGCACGTCCTCGGAAGCCAAGTGTTTGATTATTGGTTTGATCCGAGTGGATTTATCGTCGTAAGTGGAAATAACCGCGTGAAAACTACTCTTACTAGAGCTGACACGCATACAGGAGCACTACGCGGACGGAGATTTGGTCAATGTCGAGTCTCAGGTCTCGCACGTCCAGGCTGGACCACATGCGCTCAAGATATGGGGACCTCCTGTACCAGGCGTCTTTTAAGATTCTTGAACGAGAATATTTTGACTGAGGTCTAGACTTGCACCTGTCAGCGCAATGCAGTCTTTGCCATGAGCGCCAGAGTAGACGAGGTTTCTTGATGTTACGAACAGAACAGTGTTGACAAAACAAAGGAATTCTGATTTGTGAACACTATCGAGGTTTCGTAGATCATAAAATTATGCAGCTGAATTGTTCGTACTACTTGGTAATCTGAAAATGTGTCCAATCTATACAAGCTAGAGAGTGACTAGGCACTCTCTGCGACATTACTCGATAGCAAGACACGAAAATCCTCTCCTACATAGAAAAGTGACATAATACACATATTGCCAAGCAAATTACTTGTTTGATGATCCAGTTCAATCAACGATCGAGGCTATGACAGTGCTTTGTTTGCTAAATGAACCACGCATGGCCTTGATCTGATCTATTCGATTGATAGTTCCATTGAATCAGGCTACAGGTGGTATTGGTGGCTGGACTAAGTTCAGCCTCTTCCATTTTTATGGCAAGAAGCAACAGGATAAAGTGGTATGTCGCCAGATTATGGACCCAACATCAAGTTTCTTGCCTGCATAACAAGGCTTAAGCGAGTCATGGGGTACCCCATGGGGTTCGAGGGCCAAGAGTATCGTGAATCACTGCACATACTTAAATGTCACGCTAGGTTTTTTTGTTAAGAAACTTGACTAGTCACCAGCTTTCACTGTGGGCCAATTCATCTAGCAAAACCATTGTTTTCAAAACCTCATCTTTCTCAAAAAAAAAATGGGCCTCCTCAAACCTGGAAAGGGTGAAGAGAGGGCAGTAGGCCAAGATTTGGCTGCTGTACGTTAGAAAACTTGCTCATACACAGTTCAGTTCAGTCGCGCTGACAATCACTTCAGGTTTTACCAGTAGAGCCGAAACCATGGTACCAGACCCGACACCTTCTGAGGCTAAATCTTTGCCTCCTAGTTCCTCTCTTATCTTCTGCGACTTTGGGTTACGATGGTTAGCTCGTGAATCCTGGTTATTGTTTGAGATTTCTAAACATGTGATAAGGTTCTATGATGAACGGACTTATGACTCTACCGCAATGGCGAGACTCTTTCGGTCACCCGCAGGGAGCCTTGCTCGGTTTCATCAACGCCGTGTATCCTCTTGGAAAAGTGCTCGGAATGGTGGCTGTCACTTACGTTTCTGATCGCTGGGGCCGAAAACTCCCCCTTCTAATAGGACTCGTATCGTGCATCGGCTTTGCAATTCTGCAGGGCCTATCCCCGAAACTAGGATCGTTTATTGCAGCAAGAGCCTTGCTCGGATTTGCAACTTCCTTTATTAGCCAACCGAGCCCAATCATCATCTCTGAAGTAGCATACCCGACTCATCGCGGTAAGATTACGGCGTTGTACAATACCTTCTTCGTGAGCTTCCTATCTCCGATTGTGTAGAGCCGAACTAACATTTACGCCTAGTATTTTGGTGCCATTTTTGCTGCATGGTCCACGTATGGCACCTTCAGATTACATACCACTTGGAGTTGGCGAATTCCTTCAATGTTACAGGGAGCCATTCCTATGATCCAGCTGGCGGGCTTGTTCTTTCTTCCAGAATCACCCAGGTAATTCCTAACGAATATCCGTATGTAAACACCTTCATGGCAGTGATTAATGTAAGATCAGGTGGCTCGTATCGCGAAACCGTGTCGATGAAGCAAGGAAAATTTTGACGGATTACCACGCAGGATCTGACGAGGGCAGCGCGCTAGTAGACCTCGAGATCCGTGAAATCCAGCAAGCGCTGAACGAAGAGGCCGAAGTTACAAATTCATGGCTCGAGTTGGTCCGCGGTGCCGGGAATCGCAAACGTACGCTCATCGCCGTCCTTGTGGGTTGGTTTTCTCAGTGGAACGGTGTAGCAGTCACATCGTACTATCTGACATTAGTCTTGAACACCATTGGCATTACCGAGGTCAGAGACCAGGCCTTGATCAACGGCCTTTTGCAGATTTACAACTGGCTCATCGCAACATTCCTTGGTGCGATGATGGTTGATCGACTCGGTCGTCGGCCTTTGTTCCTTATCTCTACTGCTGGTATGCTTGCCAGCTACATTGCCTGGACAGGTCTTACCTCTTACTTCGTCACAAGTCGAGACGAACTTGCGGGACGTGCCGTAGTGGTGTTTATCTTCATCTTCTACTTCTTTTACGATATCGCCTGGACACCTCTTTTGCAAGCATATCCCGTAGAAATATTCCCTTACACTCTCCGAGGAAGGGGTCTTTCCCTTACTTATATCACCGCATCCACTGGTCTCATCGCTGGAAACCAGATCAATCCAATAGCCATGAAGGCTATTGCTTGGAAGTACTACATCGTCTTCTGCTGCATCCTCGCGGTCCTCGTCGTGGTCATCTACTTCGTATTTCCAGAAACAAAGGGTCACAGTCTTGAGAAAATCAAGGAAGTATTCGACGGGGCCGGTGGGGGCGATTTGAACATTGTGGAAGACGTCGATGATTCGGATAAGCCTGAAACAAGAATACATCTGGAAATCCACGAGAAGAACGTTTGATGATCATGGCTAGCGAGCTCATTTCACTCAATGCGTATTGTCAATATACAACAGCGGCATAAGTAGCAGGAGAGGATTTTTGTCGAAACATTGCTATATATTGCTGAGATCAATTCTTACACCGTGCTTCTAGTTTCACGCTTTTTACTTTATGAAATCATTAATTCTATAGTTCAAACTTAACTTGTTAGTTAATTGGTCGTAATACGATGGTTGTAGATTTACGAATTTCGGCCCGAAACTATCAAGCCGGGTAAAGTGGTGCAGCATTACTAAAAGCTGTGTCCGGAGGAAAAGCTATATCAGCACAAAAGCTCATATGAAATTTTAGTTATTAGTTGCTTCATAAAAACTTTTCGTGCTCTGGACGAGCCTTTGTGTTGCGAAATGAATTCTCAGTCCAACATCGACCGTTTACTCCAGTCCTTGACGCTTGATGAAAAGGTATACTACCTGAGTTCAACGCCTCATCGAGACTGGTATTAATACTCCTAGGTATCGCTTCTTGCAGGCGGTTCTATATTCGGAACTGCTGGGATTCCAGAAAAAGGTGTACCCTCTATAAAAGTACTTCTCCTCACTGGCTTGTCCAGAACTCGGCTCATGTACCACTAGCTTATTGATGGGCCGAATGGCGTTCGAGGAGCTTCTGCAGACGGAAGTACTGCAGCAGCATGTTTTCCCGCCGCATGCAGTATTGCAGCTACCTTTGACATTGACTTAGCCCGGAAAATTGGCCATGCGCTTGCCGAGGAGGCTCTCAGTAAAAACGCACATTGTATACTGGGCCCCACCATGTGCATTCATCGACATCCGCTTGGGGGACGCAACTTTGAGAGTTTCAGTGAAGATCCTTTTCTGTCTGGAAAACTTGCTTCTCAGACGATTCAAGGGATTCAGAGTCTCGAGGTTGGAGCCACGGTGAAACACTTTGTTGCCAACGAACAGGAAACCGCCCGATTGACCGTGAACGAAATCATTTCGGAGCGTGCTCTACGTGAAATCTACCTCCGCCCTTTCGAAATAGCGATCAAAGAGGCTCAGCCATGGGCAGTAATGACAGCATATAACCAGATCAATGGCACACACTGCGACTCGAACAGGTGGCTGTTAAACGATGTTCTACGCGGAGAATGGAAATGGGAGGGTCTTGTAATGAGTGATTGGGGAGGTACTAATTCAGTCAGTGCCAGTATCAAGGCAGGACTGGACCTCGAGATGCCTGGTCCACCACGTATTCGCAAGGCGGATAGAGTACTCGAAGCACTCCGGAAGAGAGACATAAATGAAGGCGACATCAATGAACGGGCCCGAGCGATTCTCACGTTCATTGAGAAGGCTAAAGTTTCCGAAAGGTCTGCTATCCCACTCGGTCTGGCTATCGACAAACCAGAGCATCGTGCGTTGATCAGGGAAGCCGGTGCACGTGGCATTGTACTTCTTAAGAACGAGAGGTCGCTTCTGCCAATTTCAAAGGAGAAATTGAAGGGGAAGAAGATTGCTATGATTGGTTTTGCAAAGGATGCTTTGGCACATGGAGGCGGTAGCGCCGCCGTAAATGCGCATTATAAAATCACCCCTTGGAATGCTCTGCAAACGACACTCAGCCACGGTGTTCAAATGACCTATGCAAAAGGTGTTCATAGAGAGCGCTTGCTGAAACCCATTGAGAAGGACGGTGATTGTGGCAAGATTATGGGGCTAGATGGACAACCTGGATTCACACGCCTATACTTTGAAGAAGACAGTCCTGCTCCAACGTCCGTTTTACACGGCTTCGAACGCTCAGCATATTCACCCTTAGGCTCTCAAGAGTCCATATGGAAGCACATTGAAATAGTGGGTCATTTCACCCCAAGAGAGACTGGAACGCATTACATCGCCTGTTCGGGCGTTGGGCCAACCAAAGTCCTTATCGATGGTAACGCTGTTTTTGAACAGGACACGATCTGCTCTGATCCTATGGGAGCATTCTTCGGTGCAGCCCAAGAACAGGAAATCAAAGTGTTTATGTCCGCCGAAAAATCATATTACATACAAGTGATAAGCAGTCCACCGCGGAATGTTGGAGTTGGGATCCTAGAAGGTCGTACTGGTGTACGCATGGGATTTGCTCTCGAGTCTGAACATGACGCAGACTTGATAGGAGATGCAGTCCGCATAGCAAAAGAGGCTGACCTCGCCATCGTTTTCACAGGCCATGATCCGCAATGGGAAACTGAGGGTCTGGATCAAGAATCTTTCCATCTCCCCTGCAAAGGTAGCCAGGACGCGCTGGTGTCTGCGGTCGCTCGTGCCAACCAGGACACTATTGTGGTAAATTCAACCGGAGTCGCCGTGGCCATGCCATGGATCAATGACGTTGCGGCTGTGCTGCAAGCATGGTTTCCAGGGCAGGAGTGTGGCAATGCCATCGTTGATGTGCTTACTGGCAAAATTAACCCAGAAGGTCACCTGCCTGTCAGCTTCCCACGAAAACTGGAAGATGCTCCAGCACACGGAAACTTTCCTGGAGAATATATCGACAACCGCCTACATGTCAAGTACGCTGAGGGTATATTTGTCGGTTACCGACATTTCGATCGTATGGCACCAGACAGCATCAATTTCCCTTTTGGACATGGACTATCCTATACGACATTCGATTTCCCCGAGATGGCAGTGAAGAATCAGACCGAGAATGCCTTTGATGTATTAGTAGACGTCAAGAATACAGGAGCAGTGGCTGGTGCTACAATTTTACAAATTTATGTTGGAAGAAGCAAAACAGCACAGGAGCATCCAATCAAATCTTTGGTCGCATTTAGCAGAGTTTACTTGCATCCTGGAGAAACCAAAACAGTACAATTATCTGTTTCAATAAGGGAAATTGCGTACTTTAGTGAGGATCTTCAACAATGGATCATCGACGGCGGAGACTATGATGTCTCACTTGGAAGATCGGCCGTAGATATTGCGCAAGTTCGGGTTCTGTACATAATGCAAACGAGTTATGCTCGTTCATCATAGCCGCGTTTTTCAGAGGATCAGTAATGAAAGGGTAGTATGGTGCCTCTTCCATTTGTCATGTGTACCCCGCACTGCAAGCCATTGACAGGTAAGATCATCGATCAGCGCGCAGCGTCGGTCAGAGTGGCAATGAGCAAGGATATGGTGTCAGAAAGTCCAGAGTCAAAGCTAATTTGCAGGCCTTAGTTTCACGGAGCTATGAAAATAACCGTGGCTCTAGAACGACCTATTGTATTATTGTAACACTGATACGGGTTACTAAACGTGCTATAGAGACACACAGCTGTTCCTATGCCAAAGGCTGAGCTAACCGTGTCTTCTAATGGTGCGTTGCGCCTTTATGCTTCATGTATCATTGGTTGCGTCTAGTAGGGTGATTCGCTTACCAATAGAACGTGCTAGGCACATACCGTCTGCTTAGCGGAAGTGGAGAACTCTTGGGTTTACGGAATAACAAAGGGCATATTGGACGTGTAATTGCTGACTAACGCTATAGATTTGCAATGAAAAATTCCAGCTTCTTCAATCTTGGGAGTCCGACAACAAAAGGCGTATCCCTCTAAGCCCCCATTGCCCCAAATGTTGTTGGATGAACTCAATACAATATAAGAATGTCTGCTTGCCACCACTGCATGCCCCACTCTCTAAGTGCTGGGCCAATCCACCAAGTGTAGCGAATTGCTTTCCTTTTCCTTGATTTGTTATAGACTTGTTGGAGTTGATCGGAATGAGATTACGTGGGCAGTGGTAGACCTTATCGCAGTGTGCTGGAGAAACTAAATGCTGCTGAAGAGCCTGTATTGTACGAAAGGCTTTGGAATTTCTTGGACAAAGCGGACAGCGGAGTTCAGTCTTGATTTCGTCAATCACATGTCTCCCTCCAAGCGAGAGAACGCTGTCTTCAAAGGGTGACCAATCTACTAGGCTATCCCACAAACTACCCTGGGAGTGCGTGGGAGTGACTAGTAGCCAGCCATCTGAGCTATCAAGAGACGTGGTCGGCGTTCCAGAATAAGGAGACAAATCATGTGCCGGCAAGTAAGCAGAGCTCGAAGGTGTGAGTGTTGGGAGGGTGTGGATTGCATGATCTTTGTCGTATAGTTGAACTATGTCGTAGATATCATCACGGTCCATGCCTGAGCAGCACTTTCCACTTTCCAGATGGTGCAGTAGAGCTGACGGCGCACTAAACTTCGCTCTGCATCCCTCTCCTACAGGACAACTTAAAGCGCTAAGTGGCTTGTGCTTTATCGAATCACAATGTTGTTGAAAAGACTGGATAGACAGGAAAGTCCGCTGGCATTTCTTGCATGTCCGATCACCTGCACTTATCGTAGTAGTTTTTCCCGCCTTTCTCACATTGCTGTGGGGCTTTTGCTGGAGAGGCTTCCGATGCGCACGGCTGGCCATATGTGCGTTTAAAGCGTGGATGTCCTTAAAAGAGATATTACAGTTACAACACCGATACTCGGAAGCATGGAGCTCTATCTCGCGGTGGTTCTCCCAAGCACTTTGGCTTTCGAAGGGAAGTTCGCATTCTGAACAGAAACAGTGCCCTGTAGTAATGCGGTGGTCCTCAAGGATATCCAGGCGCTCACAGAGCTTGCTGCAATAGCTACATTTGCGAATAGTATAGTCGTACTGAACCACTGAAGGATGTTTGCAAATATCTCTGCAAACATGTGAGGGAAAATGCCCTCGGGCTCTCCGGTGTTCTTCTAGATCAATCGCATACGGATAAGTGCGGCCGCAGAAACACTTGAAAGGATCGGTTGCGCGAAGAGTCATTCCGATGGTTAGCTCGATCGAGGATGTATTTTTCATAATCAGGCACAACTAAAGAGGAACTAGTTAGATGATCAGAAGAAGAACGGAAAATCTACCAATACATAGGTGTAGTCCGAGCTTGTTATCTGCTCCGCGGGCTCGTTGCGTCATCAGGAGCATCAAGCACTAACCCCGCTTGAGTGGTAAAAAAATGCCTTGTTCGCCAATAATATCTTAGAAGACAGAGTGAACCATCATTGATCCTTGTTATTAATATTGGCCAGGAAAGCTCACTAGTCAATTAAATCCGCCTTGGCCCGAACTCTGCTTGTGTCTCTACCCCGCTCCACATTGATGATGCAGTGTGGTAGTTCCTTGCCTCCGCTGAGCGGACGCTCATGTGTAATGTATCCCGTCAGCGAGTAACCCGCTCTGCTCAGAAAGAGATCTCAGAAGCTATTTTGGTAGCTAAATATATTGCAAAATCGATATAGAATAGTCATTATGGTAGCTATGCAATCATATGTGGTGTAAGATCTAAAAGTCCCGCCCATCCGATACCTACAGTTTGCAAATCACTGAATATAATTTGGAGAGCCAACAGGCCGCGCGGCCCTTAGATAAGCTGCAAATACTGTGACATAATGGAACCAAACCTTAAAGATCAAATATGCATCAATAGGGGCGGAATGCTGCGGCAACCGTACCTTGTTCCCAAGCTCGACGTTCTCCGAAGCAGGGATGTATAACATGCCATCCTAGCATCCCATACGCTCCCATTAACCAAATGGACCAGTGATTAACATGTAACTAGTAGTTTAGTACGCATCTGTAAATTACAAAGTGTTGAATAACTAACCCTCGAGATTACATACTACTAACATAAAAAAACATGTCTTTGTACCAGGTTGTACGCAATGAGCCGTGAACAATGGTACAATGGTGAACAGCCACTCTTAATTAGTTAATTGCCAGATGGCTTACTCTACAGCTCTGCACAGCCAATCTGACGACTGTTACCAGCCACTGAAATAGTAATTCCAAATCTTTCCAAAAGTTTTGTGTAATTACGGAGCTTTCAAACACAGTCTAGAATAATTATCCACTTAACTAGTATCTCGCTTTCTTGTTTATAACAACACGATTTTGATGTAGCTAGAAATCGGACAATCGCAAAGTTTTTATTTACATCGCCAAAACTATCGATAACTAGCTTGTTCCAGGCTTTTCTATATACTTCAATTACTATCGCGATTTCCGTGGCTATAATTGTCGATTAAGTAGTTAGTAATACTTGCTTAAAATCGTGGAACAAGATAGGTTAATTAAGCCCGTAATTGGAGTATTGCGATCATTGTTTATCCCAAGATGCATTAGACCTGATTTTTTCAAGCCGCAATGATGCTACTTTTACAAGGTGCTTTTATCACTCATCTTCTATCGTATACAGAGGCACAGTAAAACTTAATATGTGTATCTTTTTCTGCTATTGAATATCATCATTTAACTATAGTGCATAGCGATTGGTTTTTGCGAAGATGGTACGTCCTTAATACCGTCACAGTGGCTTGTTGCTTCGGCTCAGCTGAATTCATTGCTTCTGCAGCCTTGCTAGGCTGCGACAACATCCTTCAAACCCTGTACATTTAGCTCTTGTCTTCAGTAAGGTGTCGAATTCCTTTCGACGTAACGTACTTAGAGGTGAAAAACTGTTAGGTATCGTACCTCTTACGGCGTTGGGGCTAAAAGGACAGAGGCGCAGGCAGCCTGACAAGTGCCAAAGGCGGTATTGCATGCAATGATGCTAGCAGGTGCGGAGGCACCAAGAGTGGCCCCCCAGGTAAACCCAGCTGCAGAGTAGCAGGCCATGACTACAGCAGAACAGCCCGCCTGACACAATCCATAGGCTGCTGGTCCCGCTGAAGCCAGACTGGCAAAAGCAAGAGTAATTAAGGTAATCAAAAGCGATATTGCCATAAAGTGAACGTGGTGAGAATGCTCAGGTATGCAGGCGAGAGTAAACTGAGAGATTCACGGACTTTATGATGGCTTTAAGTCAATGACTATCCTAGAGACCCTTATTAGTCGAGATATGTAAGCAGAATCAGGACTGGAGGCCATTTCGGCAGATCAGTGTTAAAGCGGGCAAGATTTCCATGGATTGGCGTGGTGTGATATAAACCCACGGAAAGGAAGGTTAATGCCTCCTCTTCCATTTTTCGTGCGTACCCCGCACTGCAAGCAGTGAGGTGATTAGCTCATCGATCAGTTCAGCTCATCGATCAGTTCAGCTCATCGATCAGTTCAGCAACCCCGCTTTCAGTTTGGCTGCTAAGATGATCGACATTACTAGAAATATTTTTCAACGAATGGGCTCATTCTATGCCGTTGAATGCCACTTTACAGTAGAACGACTCAAACTCTATACGTAGATAATTATGAGAAGCGATCACTAAGATCGACCATGCACTGTTCCCAATGCGATTTTGTTTTTACGATTGCTAGAGCGCTTATGAAAGGTGTCGTGACTTACAGTAACATACAATGACATGGACCTCCAGTTAAATAGCGTAACCATAACTTTAGCTTAACGCTTCTATGCCGTTTTCTGGCAATATCTTCAATATAAACATCTAAGTACATTGCTGAGCGGATGCGACTTCCCCTAAGACGTAGATGCAATAACATATGCGCCACACAGCGAATAAAGATCATGAGGCACACCTTACAGATTCGACCTAGCGTTGACCTATTAGCACACATTTGATAAGTAATTAATACAGAATTTTAGCATAACAGAAAACCAAAAATCCGTTTACTGATTTCCTGGCATCATTTTCCATCCTTTTGCCTATTACCAAGTACCTTGTCCTTGAGCGTGACCCTTTTTGGCAAATAATTACTGTATAATAATTATTCTTTTGGGAATCCCACAGTACTAGAAATATTTCCATTAACTTCCAGGTTTGTTGAGCTTCAAAGAAAGAATAAAACCATCATGAATGATACACTATATTCGCTCAGATATTCTTGCCTTGATTAGGTCTACCAATGTTGAAAACGGGGTAATGAATTGCGCTGGTATTGTCTGCACATCGAATGAGGTTATAGTGCCTTTTATACTGTCGCACGGTTGGGTACGGAGGTTGTAAAATAAAATAGTAAGAAGGGTGTGTATGTCTTTGTATTATTCTAGCATTATAGCTTAGCTTATATTCGGTCTTTGCCCAGCACGACTAGTAACGCGGTTTAGGTTTAAGGCGGCGCGTGACCCGCGACATATACTTTCTTCGAGCTCTATAGAGGTAGTTCGGAACTCTTATTAGTAGAAAAATAATCTATTGAAATATTTATTAACCCCGGGACTACCTCAAGATAAGTACTTAGTAGCACGTCTATAATCTATCTTTCGTCTATACAGTATCTTATACCGCTCTTTATTATATCGATCTATATCTATATATACCTTTCGCCATCTATTAAGCCATGTTCCTATATGTTCTTCAATTCACCTCTCAATCTGAGTGTTGTTCAGCACTCAATATTCAACAAAGCTTGACTGAGACAATACGAATCTAACCATATTTAAACGAGAGCCAACTAAGAATGGTGATAACTAGAGTCATGCCCGCGAAGACAAGGTACCAACGCCAATGTGGATTTAATGCCAAAATGTCCACATTCATACCAAAGACGCTCTGTTTCCTATTTCAGCACAATGATTGTATTAAGGACCTGAATGCATCGAGAACGACCATACCGAGGCGAACATTGCGAGCAAGAATACAAGCTGGACTAGTCAGCCTTAGTCTTACAAAAGATGAGTGAACATCTACTATGATCCAACTGAGGCGTGTTATACTAGTTGCGATGCCTATAGACCTGTAAGCTTCGTCAATTGATACCCAGGCGAACTCCTACTGAAAAGTTAGAATCACGATATCTAGTGAACTAAATCCTAACAAATTGGAGAAGATTCTTGACAGTTCGATCTCATAGATGCAGACGATTACCAACTTTATTAGGTAAGCTCCTTATTGCTGTTTGTGCCGTGAAGAAGTCATCTGCATTGTACTAGCGGAAATGCTTTGTGGCGAATTCTTTAGTAGTAAGCACTTTAAGCATTAAGATACGGCAAAACTGGTCCTATTCTCTTGCATCTTCCGTAAGGTTTTGTATTAGGTTAGCATCTTTTCTCTTCTCATACACTTGTCTAAGATTCTGTAGAAGAATGTCAATTCTTAAATTGTTCTAGAAATTCTACTAAGCATATGCAACGTACCTGGCTAGGCACGTGAGCCTTAGCTAAGTTACAGAATTTAAGCCATCTTTCTTTAAGATGGAGTATTAACTGCTAGAAGAAATCTGCTCTATTATCTAGGATCTAGCTATATAGTAGCGAGCTGATGTGCGCTATTAACTTCTAGCTAGGTCTATCACTCGCCTTTGTAGGTGGGGTAATGGCCTAGGCTACTGCGCACTTGTCCTAAGAGATCTTGAAACGATTCTGGTCGCAGGTTAACTTTTTAATAGGGTAACGGAATCTGAGGTAAATGAGATTATGCTCGTGTTTTCTACTCTCCTTACTAAATATCTGAAATGTAGTTGTGTTGGTTAAGTTAGACTTTAAATCGCCTATAACCTAGCAATGACTTGCAAAGGGGCCTTCGGGGCTGATTTCTGCCTTAAGATTGGACTAAGGGTATAAGAAGAATAGAAAATGTAACGTTCTGTTTTCTACTAGTTTACTAATAGGTTTTAGTCTATTAAGTCGTAAGCGTTTTGTATTGCCTATACCTTCAGTTAGTTCTACTTCAATACGCCATGTATTTCTTCTCTATGCTTTAAGCTAATCCTTAATCAGCATTTTCTTAGCTTGTATAGCTCTTTAAAGAAGTACTTTAACATAGCGTACGTCTTTCCTTTAAATTACGAGTTATAGAGGAGTTACACTATTAGGTCTCTTGGTATTAGTATTTGCGCTATAAGCAATACGGTGTTCTATTATTCCTATTTAGCTGTACTAAATTCTGGTATGTAGAAAGGTTTGCCCACGCGAATCCTTCATGCTGACAGTATTCTAGACTTTTAGTAGTCGGTGTACCTATTCTCTTTAGCCTTCTTGAATGAGTGTATATATGGTGGTGGTATCTCTATAAGCAAAGAGCTTAACTACCGTTTCGTGCCCGTTGTCTAAGGCTCGAGCAAGCGTCGTCTGGCTACTATGACCTTTGCTGTTCGAATCTGTATAATCAACATAAAGCAGTAGTTTTATAGCTATAACGTAGCCGTGTTCTACAGCCCACGAGATTGCTGTCCGGTCATGATAGCTTATAGCATTTACAAGCATGCGCACCATTTCTAAAGAACTATTCATTATACATAGCGATTAATAAGGGCGGCCGACCACTCTTGTCTTGAGCATTTGAATCGATGCCCCTCGCCTCTAGCAGAAGCTGCACTTTCTCCTCATGCCCGCTAGATGCAGCATATAACAGCGGCGTTGAACGATTTTCAGCTAGTAGTCTTCGAACAGTAGGTAGAGACCCACATGTTACTACTATGTGTAGTCCGGCTATACTAGCTCAGAATCTTCAACCTTGACTCTACCATGTTGATCCCACTACCCGGTTGGCCCTTGTACTCTTGTGCTGCCTATTAGGTTTAGTTGCAGAGCTGTTATATTGTCGCAGGTGAAACGCGAGCGGAGACGTGTACATTCTGCGGAGGCGTATGCATGCTGCGGCGGTGGTGCGGAGAACGTTCCGTCACTACCATCTCTTCTTGAGAGTGCCTGGGCCTCATGAACGACCCTCGGGAGTATCCGCCACCAAGGATCGGGTCGATGCTACGGTGGCGGCGCGGTGGCTGTGTGTCGGCCGCGACGTGCACCATGTCGCTGAGTGCGTCAACGAAGCTGATCAGCGGCCGGGCGTCGATGGGCTGCGCGAACCACGTGATGCGCACCCAAGCCTGTAGCGCAGCGAGCATGAGGTCTTTGAGCTCGACGCGGGTGCGTGGCAGACGAGTAGTGGGAAGCGTGGCTGCGGGGAAGACGGCGGCGAAGTCGAGGCTCCAGGTGGTTTGCTCGCCGCTGGCTGCGACGGCTTCGACCTGGTCCAAGGCCATGTCGACGTGGATGCTCGAGTGCTCGGCCAGCTCGTCGATAAAGGACCGGAAGTCGTGGCTGGTGAGGTACAGGACGCCAATGCATTGGCCGACGACCCTGCTCCCACGCCATATTGTGCTAATATAGCTATCTAGCTGGCACAGCACTTCAGTGTCACGCCGGCTGTGACCGCCATCCACCCGCACCTTTTCCGCGTCCTGCAGCAGTTGTTCCAACGTAGTAGCCGGCTTGTCCAGGTGCCAGTGTGGCAGCGTCCGCTTCACCGCATCCACTATCTTGCGCTGCTTGAAGCGCGCCACGGTGAGCATGGAGAACACGCTATCGCTGCGCTCAGAGTTGAACAGAAAATGCCGCCGTGTGACTGGCACTGACAAGGCAGCCAGGGCCATGGATTGCAAGTCAACACGCCGGATATAGGCGTCCCTGTGCGTTGCTATCTGAAGCTCGCTCATATCGCATGCCAGCAGAATGACTGCCATCCACGGTCCCGTCGTGTTCTGGATCCGCTCTTGCGCCATGCCCACCTGCTCGTCGAGTTGCCTTTTCAGTCTGTCATGTCTCCGCTTGCTCGGTACACTGTCTAGGATGCTCGCCATGACCTGCGTGTCATTCGTATTGGATATCTCCAGCTGCTCGATGGTGTGGACAGCTTCCATGTCGCAGCCCATGGCGTTCGCCCACATAGTCCACTTCGCCGTGGGGAGAATGTCTTCCATTTGCTCTAGGTAGTAAAATTCGAGTCCCTCATAGGCATACCGCTCCGATTCCCATCGTCTTTGGATTGCTTCCTGCGCCTCTTCGCCCACTTGTGCAGCGCCAGCGTCTTCGTCCGTGTGCTCAGCCTCGGGCTCCGGCTCGGACTCGGGATTCGTTGATGCAATACTGCTGCGATTGCTTCTTGAATCTTCAGAATCGCCGCTTGTTGAACTCCTTCGACGAGAACTTACTCGTGATCTGCTGCGGAAGCGCTTTCGAGTCATACTAAGATCAAACACTTTATTGCCAAGTGGCAGGCACCCTGCGGCAAGCCAGAAGAGATATTCTAAACTTATTGCATCCGGTGTCAGACTTCCTCTCAGCTGCTGATTGTAAGGCGCCAGATAGAGCCAGTCTGAAGACACGCTCTCGTCATCGCCCACGTCTCAGCGGTCCGATGCTGCCGTGCAGCACGTCACGCTCGTCCTCGCCAACGTCTCGGTCATAGTCTAGTCGAGTGTTACTCTTGTCCACAATCACTTGCCCCTTGTCCTCACGATTACTGTAGCGTCCAAGCAACCCCAGAACCAGGACCCAGAGTTTATGCGCCGGGAGCCATGTGTGGCCGTATCCGAGCATCAAGTGGCCGCTTCGATCCTTGGATCCTGGCAGAGAAAAGGCACACAAGGCCAAGCAGAACACGATCCATCCTGTCTTACTTGGAGGGTCGATGAGGCAGTCGTCTTTCCTCTGCCCATTAAATTGCCTAGGAAGTTGTGGAATGTCTGTCAGTCTAGGCACGCGTGCCCGTCGAAGTATTCTCGTATCACGCCAAATCCGTATTCCAGAGGAAACAAAGCGATGCGATGGGTCGTCGATCGCCCGGTGGGCAATGTGTTTCTCCGAGCGAAGGGTGGTCCACAGCAGAAATGGCCCAATGATCCCAAAGAGCGCGACGAGAGCGAGAACAGCAGCCAGCCATGTGCCGACCGCCGACGCAATATCCACACCTTCTGCCATTGTAGTGATTGCGGACTGTCAGGGGGAACGCTGTTTTTATTTGTACGTGTGGGCGCCTCGTCTGGTTAAACTCCGCCATGACGTGCGATTCTGGGGGCCAAAAACAGCCGCGACGTATCACCATGCGACATGGCTCCACGACCCCTCCACGACCCTTCCAACAAACCATCTATAGCACGAAATCTGCTACTCGTCGCATCTAAAAGCTTTCACAAGGTGCGCCTTTGTTATCACTATTTCCACTAGCATGCGCCCAGCCCTTCGAGCATCGCCCCGATCTGTACCACGTCTCTAGTGTCAACAGAACAGCCAGCACTCTACAAGCATGTACACTAAGTCTCTAGTCGACTGGCTCTACGCTCGTTTTGTTATATATTCTATCTTGATAGCAGATAGGACTATTTCTGTCATTGCTTAACTAATGATTTCTACGCTTTCGACGCTAATAAAGTATAGCTACCTAACACAGACATAGATCTTACTCGAGTTGAGGAGTGTCATCCCGATGTTCTAGAACGGTGCTAGCATATCAGCTTACCATGAAACTGTTAGATAATGAATTCATTAGCTAATTTTGGTAGTATGGGAGAGGGAGTATCGCTTGACTTTTTTTTCTCTCTGTTTGCTATATAGCGGATCAGATCAATTATCTGAGAAAAGAATGGCAGGCCACACCCCAACCGGCCAGAATCGTGTATCCAAAAAATTGACTTTACAGTCAAAGTACGTAATAAAAGGATTCGGGTGGACCTCTGCGAGACTCTGTCTAAAAAGCGTATAAGTGCGCGCTAATCATAATTTCCTTTACTAAAGGGTCGTATTTGATTGATTTAATTACAGGGAAAATAAGATCTGAGAGCACCCTGGTAGAGATCTGTGCTTTTACCTTATTCTTATACCTACTCCCGTACTACGGTTCTTAAACTGCTCTTAGCAATCTCTGTAGTACCCTAGTACAGTAATGAAAATCGGCAATGTTACCCTAGTGAAGATTATTTAATCCTAGATCCGATTGGCTGATAAACTGAGCCAACGAAACTTACCTATGTATGTGGGAGAAAGCTGCCGAGTAAGATAGTATAACTCGAGTCAGTTAGCATTTCGGTAATCACACTAGAAGGCTCATGTCTAAAACCATGCTATATAGGGTTGGGCTACACTTTTTCGGTCTCGGTCCAGGTCAGATCGTTATCGACACTAGAAACAGAGGTATCTTGTCGGAGGCGGCATCCCGCCTGAAGGATCAAGTTGGTAGTCAGCCCTGGCTTTCTAACCCGAACTTAGCGCTAGTCTTATTTTTGAGTGGCTTAGGGCCGGGGCTGGAACCTTCACGAGAATGCCAAACAACGCTCTATTCTTTCAACATCACCTACTAGAAGCTGCTACATGAACAAATTTAGCTTACAGCTGGCTTGCAGTTCACATGTTGCTACATGCTATTGTAAGCCGGCCCTCCTTCGGCCAATAGTTAATCAGAGTTTTTTTTCTGGTCGATGTTACACCCCAGTTAACGACTGTCCCTCCATGATGGAAATCAGATTGTTTAGCACTAGATATGACCAAGGTATAGCTCCGCAAGCGCAGCCCCTTTTACATCGCGAGCTCTGTTCCTCAGGATCAGGCACTCGGCTACACTGACAACATATTCACATCTAAATTTCTGTGCTACAAGGTAGAGTTCATGTATGTGGGCCACTAACAAGGGAACAATAAAGGCCAGGGTGACGAGTAAGCGCTATATTATAGAGAGCCCAATCTATACCTTTTAAGTCGCGATTATAGAGAATTTCTCTATAATTAATCTATTATAGTCATCCAAAAAAGAGCCTAATCTTCATTTTAGCGCGTCTCCACACACATAACCTGTACCATGTAGCACAGTAGTTACTTTCGGGGCTAGGACAACATAAATGTTTCGGTCATTCTTAATCCAGAGTTGTGTTTCTCAACTCCTGGATATGCACACATGACGCTGTCGGTGACGCAAACTTCCGTCATGTTTGTGTCCTTTTTTACCGATCATTTATTGGTTTCATTTCTATTCCTTTTGCAAGGCTTCGCAGGGATTTGTGAAGGCATATTAGTGGCCTCGACTGGAAACCTCACACTCGTTGCGGCGTGGTATCCTCACCCTGGGTATAATCCCAAGTATCCTGATGAACAATATTATCGCAATCGGGTGGCAGAGTTTCTCGCCCGGATACATACACCGCTTGTTATATTCACATCCTCCTCAGAGAACGACTTGCCCCAGAGTGTCAGGCCTTCTAAAGCTCCAATGCTATTGAACAACAGCTTTGAATCGATCTGGGATGTACCGTACCTTATCGAACTCACCCACTCATTTCATACTGATCAAGTGAAACTGGCGGTCCAACAAATGCCAGGAGATTTCTTTGAAACTTCCCATATGTGGGGTGTTTAGAACGCCAAAGTATTCTTTCCTGATTAGGCAGCAAAAGAAAATCCGTTCTGCTAGGATTACTTTTTCTGGAATGATGCGGCCGGGATGCTACCGCAGAAAGGCAATTTAACCTTCTGGCCAGATATTACAAGAATCCGTAAAGCTGTCCCAACTGACATTGGACATCCGGAAAGATTGCTCATGGTTGGTCGTGAGCTTCAGCCACTACGACCCGTTCATGCTTCAAGGGAACTTGCCCCCTTCACACGAACAATTTCAGGTGCGTTGAGCTTTCATAGATGTCTGTCACTGCTAATTTTGTAGCACATTTCTTTGGTGGCACTAAAGGGTCGATCAAGTGGTTTTCCCAAGTGTATTATGAGATGCTTGCATACTACCATTCAATCAACCAGTTTGTTGGGTGTGAGGAACGCATTATTTTGAGTATTGCGTTACTCCACACCAACCGTATTGTATGTGTTCCATCTTTTCATTACTATGATCCAATACAAGCTAGCCTCGATCATATGTATTATTACTTTCTTTGGTCATCAGGTCGGGAAACAAGGTTGATAAATGGGCCAATCCGTCCCGTAATGTTTTCTGATATATCAAAAGCAACTATGTTCTCTTATCATCTTTGGGCTCGATGCAATTCTGAGATAGTATGTTTTTAATCATACGCTACCATGGATACGTCAAAGTAGAGCAAGTCTTAGCCGCATTAATTCACAGTAGTTACCTTATGTAAATATGACAAAAGTGATTATGTAGTGCGAGTAATATAACGGCGCAGGCAAGACTACCTCATGCATTCAAGCCCACGGGTAAAAAAGCTTACTTAGACTTTTTCGAAGCTGGTAGGCCACGTGACACCAGCAGACGGGTAAATGGTTGGCGGATCCCTCAATATGCCCCGCTTCAGCCTCACTTAGGAAACATGATTGCTGCCTGGTTTCCTTACCTCTCTCCTGCGTCGAGTGTATATAAATACTGGTGAAGAAAAGACCAACACGCTTACTCCACACCACGCCCAATGGAAAGTCTGATCTATGTGCCACTACCTCCACAAGATCCAAACAGAAATGTAACTGCGTACTCTCGACTTCTCGAACTCTGGCCTGGCGAGGGCGCCAACCCATTTTTATGCACCCTTCAAAATGTGGATATAGAACATCCTCATGTTCCGTTTGAAGCACTGTCCTATGTCTGGGGGAGGGAGAAAAGCGATAATGTCCTGCTTTGCGCAGACAACCAAGGCAATATACAGGGGCAGCTGGAACTCACCAAAAACTTGGAGCAAGCATTACACGCCTTGCGACAACCTCACCAGCGCAGGATCCTCTGGATTGATGCCATTTGCATCCGACAGGACGACAACGCTGAGCGATCCCGCCAGGTATCCTATATGCGATCCGTGTATAATAACGCATCGCGGGTAATCATCTGGCTTGGCCAAAAAGATGCATCAGTCCGGCGTGCATTCGAATTCGCCCAGAAACTTGCCATGACTGCCGCAGCCCTGGAAGCGACCATTCCACAGAGCTCCCAATCACCACAACAGGTCCAGATAGCACGGTTGCACCGCCAAGACCTTGTCATAAACGCCATGAAAGACCACCCTGAAGATTCCAGAGCATTGGATGAACTGCTTTCAAAGGAGTACTTCGAGCGCGTTTGGTGTATCCAAGAAGCTGCCGCCGCAAAAGACTGCATTGCGAAATGCGAAGACCTCGAGATTGATTTTCACATGCTCCTCATGGTCGTACCATTCCTCCTTCTTTATCGAGGTCTCACTCCTAACGCATCAGGCCTAAGCTTATGGCAAGCTATGGCAATCGTCAAGGGACAAGACCACGATCAAACGAATCCATTAACACCGACTGGTTCGCTCGGCCCGATGTTGCGAGTCCTCATGTCGGTTCGGAACTTCAAGGCTACGAATCCAGTAGATCGGATATATGCGCTATTAGGCTGCACTGACGAGGGACTGGAGCCGATCTTAGGGAGCTTGACTACTTTTGCAGGGAACAAAAGAAGTCCCGGGTTGGCACTAATGCAGAGAGGCTTGATATGGCTGGCAAAGAATGTGGAGGGCCAGCGACGACCTGATGGAAAGTTCCTCCGACATTGGGCACTGAGGCCAGACTATGACAAGAGCGTGCGCGATGTCTACCGCAACTTTACTAGATATTGCATCCGCCGGAGTCCTAGGATTTTGGATGCTCTCTCCCACGTACAGCATCACTCCAACCCGACCGGACAAGACGAGTTTCCAACTTGGGTTCCCAAGTTCCATGAGCCTCGTAACGCTTCTTCGTTTGTCTTGGATGTCTACATGGCCGGAGTGCCACCGAAAGGGCATTATCGTTATTTTGCGCAGGTGCAGGACAATCCGTTGGTGCAAGGGTCAATTAAAGAACCAAATATCCTGCAAGCTGACGGCTTCCGGGTCGACGTTGTTGATACTGTTTCCGAGACTATCACACAAGGCGCTAGTGGAATAATCTCACCTCAAACTGTCTGGAACCAATTATTTCCAATGCCCATTTCCCCAAGACCAGATTTGCAATACGAGTTTGGGGCAGAGGCCTTGGATGTCGCTTTTTTCATGACGCTGCTCGCAGGTGGTGTGTTGAATACGCTCGAAATCGGGTTCGAAGGCGCTCCGACGACAAGATCCGAAGTAGTGGAGCATTTCACAAAGCAAGCGAAATGTGACCTGTACCAGTGGCTAGAGGGCGAGCCTGGATTTGATCCGCAAGCCTATGCGGACCTCATACGTGATTCCCAAGGCGCAAACCATGAGCAGGGGCGTTCTCGTTTTGAGAAATGCTGTGTTATGTACTCATTCAACCGGAGACTATATCGCACTCGATCTGGAATGTTGGGTCTGGGCCCAATGGTCACGAGACCTGGTGATGTTGTAGTTGTTCTCTTTGGCGGAAAATATCCTTTTTTGCTTCGGCAGCTTGCTCGTGAATGGCTGTTCCTGGGGGAAACATATGTGCGGAATAATCACGTTATGCGTGGTGAAGCAGTGACGGAGGCACGTTCAACAAGAGGAAGACAAAGAGTCGAGACATTCCGTATCCGGTAGACCGCTTTCTGAGATGGCGAGGTGCCAAATAGCATTGGCCTTTCTTGCATGAAAGAGGTACTTGAGACAGTCTTCCAGAATCTAGTCTCAACTCAGTCCAATAAGATAAGTCATTTTGATTTTCCAGATATACTCATGGCGGAGTTTGAGATGCCAAAGTAGGCTTTAATTTGTAACAAGAAAGCTTCAGGGAGATACATAAATGATTTGCACAAGTGTATTCCAGAGATTTCGATATCGACTTTCCCATGAGTCCATATGATATTGATGTGTACTGGCAGGCCTATCCCATGTTCTGGTACAGGTGCTAATCAGTTCCGGACCGGGCCTGGAGCTGGGAGTGAGTGGATATTATTGATATTGCTGTGCTACAATACAAGCTCACGCGTCCAAACCCAAAGAGGATGGTGATTTCAACCACCCCATAGCTATTGACAGAACTAAAAACGGCGATAACTGAAGGTGGCACCTAGAGGTGCCGTTGCGGCAGGAGCAGCGGCTGAATTGAAGCTCAAAATATAGTAGTATGCCGAGCTGCGGAATTGGGGAACATGTGTTTTGCTAGAAGAGTAACTCATGGCAGGTGTTGTTTCATGGGTCTGCGACGCCCACAAGTGGTTGTGCACTTTTCGGACGATGCTCACAGGAGGCACAGGTGATTGTGCACTTATACTATGCCGAAAATATTTTACAGCACGGAGGTTTTCCCATTAAACTGCTATCGTTGAATGCATGCTCGCGCGTGTCCTCGCGCATTTTCCTGACCTACTACTACGTACATCAACATCGCAGAGTCGGTGCATACGGCAGGGCTAGACTGCCACATGCAGGTGTAATGGACCTCATCCACGGCCAAGGCGACGTGGCTTACATGGCTTTCCTTTGCAGTTTCTCAGCTTAAGGAAGAGGCTAGCAGAGGCTAGACGGTTTCCTTAGCCTGGCAAGAGTTGCTTCTATTCGCTTCCGCAACATGTGCCAAAATTGGCCAGAGCGCCATCTGAAACCGCCCCATTCGTAGGTCTCCACCTGCCGTTGACGGCTTCACTTGTTAGCGCGGACCAATCTACTCTTATTCGCTCATAGCAGGGCCGTGGCACACCCTACCGCAGTCTTCCGCCTTACTATTCGTTACCACTGCCTGGCTCGTTCCATGTTTTCACGCATTTCTTCTACATACATACTACACATCAGCAGTCATGATCAGTGCTGTGCAGATTGGGGACTTCGTCACCCTCGTCTTTTCCGTACTTATAAACCAGCCGACTGTCCCCATGAGTTTTCTTTGGACTATCGACCAAGACTTCTTGTACTCAATAAGTATCATCAGCTCGCTTTCCGATATACTCCGCACCCCAAGCATTGCTCTTCTCATATAAAGTGCGCTTGAGCACTCGATACTATCTTCAGAATGCCGGGTTGCTTCACCAACCTCTTCAACAAACTCTTCCACCGCGGCACGTGTGGTCCATCCAAGCATGTCTCTGGTACCTCCAAAAACGATGCTGTCGGTCCCAGAGTTCTCCATGACGGCACCGTTGGTACATCTGCTGGGGTAGATGTTGTCTTTATCCACGGCCTTCGAGGTTCTCGTGTTCACACTTGGTCAGATGGAGAGTACTTCTGGCCAAAAGACTTCCTATCAGAGGACCTGGACAACGCGAGAATCATCACCTGGGGATACGATGTAAATATAGCCAATCATTTCAGCTATGCAAGCAGGGAGAGCATACGTGGTCATGCCGAGACGCTGCTTCATGATTTATATAGGATCCGACGCTTGATTGTAAGACTTCCCTGGAAGCTTCTATATACGGTACACAATACTGAACACGCAGTCTAGACACGGCCAATCATCTTTGTCTGCCATAGTCTCGGAGGCTTGGTTTGCAAGGAGGCTCTGATCATAGCTGCTGCATACGATAAGCACCAACGCCACTCCAATCTTGCTGCTACCTATCCCAACACTAGAGGAGTAATTTTCCTTGGAACACCACACCGCGGAAGCGGGGCAGTGGCTCTAGGGCAAGTGCTTTCCAGGATTGCTTTTTTCCATCGGCCGAATACACAGCTGCTTCAATCGCTTCAAGTGGATTCGCACACTCTAGAGAGACAACGTGAAGAGTTCATTACCATCTCTGCGAGTCTCTCTATCGTGTGCGTGAGAGAGGAGATACCAACATCTATCGGCATCGTAAGTCCTCTGCAATTGATACAGTTGTTCTTTACTAAAACTCTTTCATAGATTGTGTCAGAAGAATCGGCATCCTATGACGGCTTTGATGTTCGGAGGGGAGCCATTCCTGCCGATCATATCAACATGGTCAAATTCAAGAGCAAGGGCCATATAGGTTACGAAAGGGTTTTGTCTTGGATTCAAGAGATGCAGAGCTAGGCCCTCACGGGACAATGCATAGTTGGGGATTAACTCCCTCCCTTTAGATGTACCGCAACTTGTAGAGGATGCCCATAGTAATAGAGTGATTGCGTATTCAAAGCAGAAGAGTATATATTTAATACTATGAAATTACTCCGCTTCAGCACTGAGAGAACCAATTACATGGTGGCGGGACTATAGCGCCACAGTCCATCACGAAGAGATCACAATCCCTAACAGATTTATCATGTGTTGAGCCTTAAAGGAAGTGAGATTTGTTTTAATTGAAATAAAGAATGAAAGGATTGTCAATTGATGCGCGCCGAACATTTCCACAAAGTGTTTTGGTCTTCCCTTTGGATTGTCCTGGAGATAACGTGACTTGGTGGCTTAGCGGGGTCTGCCTGGAGCTGAAAACGAAACATTGGTCATGAGCAAATACACAGCCACTTGAATAACAACAGTATAAGTATTTGGCTGTCTGGAAACAGGTTTAAGTAAAAAGCCTGAAACGCTGAATCGTACTTCTTCGAAATCTGAAGCCCAAATCCCCTTATCGTAAGTAGTCCCACATGCGCTGCATGTTGCAAGCTGCGTCTGGAGAAGCTCAATCTGTTTAGGTATGCGATTATGCAGAAATACGTCCACAAATCTTCCGGCGGCCTCGTTGCGCGCGAGAGAGATCAGAAGAGGACGTATGCCCATACTGATCGCTTGATCGCTTTGAGTTGCGGCGCAAGCATCTGGTTATGCGGTACTGGGCTTAGCACCATCGGGTTGGCGATGCAAGACCAAAGCCACAACACCCTGCTAAGAAACTGGCAAGATGTATGTCTTCTCCATGATTTCTGTGCTATAACTTGCTTAACGAAACAGCTTGTGGCTGGTCCAGTACAGCAGTCATCCAGTACAGCCTTGGCGGGAAGCATAGCCTTGTGCAGCGTTGGGTATGTGACGGCATGTATGGTAGCTTATCACCGGGATCCAAATTTTGTCGCAGTTACGACTGCAGTTTGCGTCGTTGCAGTTTTTGTAGAAGGCTTGTGGAATGGCCTCAATGTGAGCCTCATGGAGAGGCTGGCAGTGGTGATGCCGTTAGCAATCAACATCGGCGTCACCTTGGCGTTGAATCGTCAAAGAACTCCAATGTCCCGGAGTGTACGAATAGTCGACGACAATGCATAGAAAATCTCAGGAAACGATTCTTCTGTTGATGGGAACTATTCGAGCGACCAGGACATTGGTCGATGTGCGGAGTTTGGTTGGTGAATAGACTTTCTTTAGTACTAGTACATGCCAACGAACATTAACGTCGCAGATGGTCTCCTGTTTCAATTTTGATGAGGTATTTAATAGCGCTAATACCTAAAGTTCTCGATATGGATGTTTTGTGTATATAGAAAAACTGATCATTATTTACAGCATGAGAACGAAGATAATTCGCCTGGGAAGCTTGCGCATCGAAACAAGTCACTAGTAGTGTGTAGTAATTGTGGGGGCATCCCACTGCGGATGCGGCCCGTGCCCTGTCCATCCCATCGTCATCCAGCTGGTTGGTATATAGGATCTCCGCAATTAGGCCCAATCCGCCTCTCTCCTCAAAAACGCACCTATATCTTCCAGAACCCTAAGGCGACAGCGACAAGGTGTGATTTGGAGCGCTTCGCGCCATAGTCAGTGTAAGTCAATCATCATGGACAGTACCACGCATCAATTCACCCTGCACACATCTGCGCAGAAGCGACTGACAGGCTTCCGGTACATAGCACCTGCTGTTGCTGCCCACAAAAGCGCAAAAAGGTTTACATTGTTCTTGGATATACGCTCTGCTATGTCAGGTACCATGTATCCCTCAAGAAGCCTGCGTCCAGGCCAAGGAAGTCGGGCACGAGGTTCTCGCCGTGGACGGGGCGCGCCCTCCCATAATCAGACTGCGTCGCGAAACCACCGGAACGAACGAGATCACCAAAACCTCAATACGCTACTGCATCCAGCGTACTGGTGGCAACCTACAACGACGATAGTTCAGTTCAACGTTCACCACCATGTGAGAATAGAAGAAAATAGTCAGGTCGTGCAGACGCATTCAAGAATGGGATATTGGCTAGGCAATGAGTTTGTACCTACATCAAGCACAATAACTACGACTGTGTCTACTGAGTCGCATATCATGGACCACGGGTCATCGCCAGGGGCGTACACTCCAGCTAGTGAACCACCAGAGCCATGGCCATCCCATGCGGGCAACGATGATTTCGACAATGTCGGCGCACAATTTGCTGATGAGGGCACTCCATATCTAGCCGCACGCGATAGGTCAGGCGGCTATACTGGTATACAGGACGAGTGCAGCCCATATCCTCTCGTCATGGTTGTTGCTAATGACGGCAGAGCTGGAGGCTTCGATCCAGCTGCGACGTCAGACTTGAACAATGAGAATGAGATTGGCTTCGATCGAGCGGGTATACCGCCGTCCGATCCCTCCAAGGCTTATTTGGAGTCATTTTCTGATGAAGCTTGGCTTCGTCCAATTCCGCTACGCATACGGCGTGCGTCTACATTCCCGCTATTGGGCCAGCATGAGGAGGATGTTGTTGAGAATCTGGTAAGCCTCTCTGTATCCATAAATACCTTGTAAGGTCTCCTGAGTTGACGATTCTTTAGGCAGACAACCTCGAAGCTCTGCAAGTAACGACTGGTTGAAGTCGTTACCCTTGGTTCCTATATTTCTATTCATCCATCCATTGGAGAGTCGTTTCGTGCGAGGCATTGGCGTTGGCGTTGGGAATACTGGATTGGAGACTGGTAATGGATATACGCGGCATAATTGCAGCAAGATTTTGCGCTGTGCATTAGACAGGTGTTTACATGGCAAAATCACTACGTCAGGTCTTAGTGCTGAGAGATGAGCGTTCCGCACCCAGATAATACAGTTCAAAAGATGAGGGACAAAGGTCCACCTTGCGTCTTGGCCCTTCGGCGATCTGCGCGATACTTGACGCGTCCAAACGGCACATTATCATACTATCAATCACTATTTGCAAGAAAATCCTGGAAAACAGCGAGACAGTCTCTAAGACCGCATTACTGACCTCTACTGTTGGGACAATATTTGCTCGCGCATTCGATAACAAGCGATCCTACCCATAATTGACAACTGTGACACACACTACGGAAAGAAGGAAGTCTAGAGTTCGAGTGTTTGTATTCAAGAACCAACAGTAACAGATAGACATTCTATCCAGAACATCTATCCCTTAATGGGCTAGGAACTCTAAGGGCTACATACAACAGCCGTATAATGAAACGCCGAAGCGCTGGGTGGCAGATTACCACATGGCTAAAGCAGGCACATGAGCGCCAGGCGGCACAAACAATAAGGCCGCAAGAAGAGCGTCGAAACGTTGGATGGATCGATACTCGAGAAAGGAATGAGAACGCCGAAGCGCTAGGTTATCTGATGCAAGATAACAATGGCAGCAATGAACCGCTGAGTGATGACCACGAAGTGGAACGCCGAAGCGCTGGGTGGCATGTGATTAAAGTGAATTCCAAACAAAAGCACGCCACATCCGCAGAGCTTCCGCGATGGGCTATACAACTCCGGTCTTATTTCTTTTATGGGTATCATATCGTAATCGTCTTGGGGTATCATGAATGCGGTGCGATGAATGTGCGGTGGCCGTAGAGCGGGTACAACGTGCAACATCGTGAGCGTCGAGAAGGAATAGAAGATGCGTGTAGTCGTAGGATTGGGATGTTGGACGTTGCGCGGCGACCGGTAGAGACGATGAATGATCTAACCGTTGTTGTCATGCTGGGCCCCCAAGTCCGCGAGCGGGTACGCCCCTTCAAGGTCAGGCTCAGGGCTATGCGCCTCGTCTTGAGGTTGCTGCTGCGGTAGAGGCTGGGGAGGCAGAGTCTCGTACCCCCAAAAGCCATTCCAGGTTTTGCGCAGCAATCCGGACTCGACGCTGTTGGCCACTTCTTCGATTCCGGCGCGGACGATGATAGCTAGATCCACGACCAGCGGACCCCACACGAACCAGTCGAACAGGTCAAGACCTGCCCAAATCATGGACCCTGTCATGAGAAGTGCAAGGACAAGGGAGAACACCGACCAACTATAGGCAATGTTAGACATGGTTCATCGATTAGTACCTATAGTATTATGTGGATGGCTTACTATGGATGTTCTTTGGCATAATGCCATGTCATGCTGATGTAGACGACAGTGCAAGCAACGTACACTGTGCTCGTACTGTTGAGGGTCAGTTGAGGATGCAAAACGAGTTGAAGAACCTCACAATGTACATACATAATGTTCAGAGCCCAGAGTGGAAAGCCATTTATGTTGTTGAAGGGATGCTCTTTGTATCTAGCCGCAACGTTGAGGAAGAAGTTCCAGAGACCAATCAGGATCATGAAGAAGAAAACAAGAAGCCTGATAGAACGGGGTGTACCGGACTTCATGTTGTACTTGTTTTGAGCAAGGGGGGAGAGGGGGGCGCGTTGTAGATGTGGGGTGTTTGCGGCGGTGATTGAGCGGGATGAGATGGGCTAACAACGGAAGACGCCGATGAATGAGGGTCGATGCGAGGAGGAGAAAGATGCCACCAGGCAAGGCAGCGGTTGTGAGCTCAGTGCGAGCCCACAGCCAAGTTGCGGACTGCAAGAAGCAAGCAATAGTTGTTCAAGGTCTGGCTTTGGTGTGTGTGTGGTGTAGAGAGTGGGCTGCCGGGGGCCTTTTAAACAAGCTGCGGACCTTCAGCCACAAGCTCGCGACCTTAAGTCAAAAGATGACGGCACTAGCACACTTATGCGACTTACCGCCCCGAAGCACTCACAAGCGATGCCATTGAGCCCTCGGGAAAAAAATCGCCTCAGGCAGCAGTATGCCAGCCAAAGTCGTGCTCACCGATTTTCTTCCCTGAACCAGTTCAATGATTATAGTTGTTACGGAGAGATTCCTAGGCATTATTCACCCAACCTCGTGCAGGAATTTTACAAGAGCGGAACGAAGCTGGCACTTCTTGGACAGCCATGCAGCGCGCCAAGGCCTCTAGTTGTGCATAGCCCCAATCAACACAGCCACCTTTGCGTTTGGTGATAAGTTGAAGGCAACGCACATCTGAGATTGGGAGTGGTTCTACAATATACGTTCCTTAGGTAGGTGGATGGACAGCGGGATTGAGAGCTGCTGGAGAGGTGGTGCTGACAATAGCAGCTCGACTTCGGCGTCATGGAGAAGCGCGTCATGAACAACGATACCAATGGGCGATGCCCTGCCCACAGGCGGCCTTGTCTGCTGGGATTCGCTACGGGGACGGCAATGTGGATATCGAGCGCTGCAACGAGTACTTCGATTCTCGCGTTGCAACCTCACCCAAGTGAGAATGAAGTTCTCAGGAGATGGCAAAGTGTAAGTTCACTTGATTCATCGTCCAATGGTTTGTAACAACGCTGATTTTACCGGAAGTTTATTACTCAACGAGTGGAAGACATACCAGACTCGGTACTCTTCACTGGTATTGCAGTCTGCTTGGCACTCTATGCTGCTTCTTGCATGCACATTTACTACACAGCCCCAAGGTCCGTGTCGATTACGTTGACAGCGAGTATTCTCCTAGTCTTTGTGGAGATAGTTTGGAACGCCCTGAATGTGACACCTGTAGAAAGGCTGGCCGTTGTTTTGCCGGGCACGGTCAACATTGGTCTTAGTTGGATACTTGTTCATCAGTCGAGAGAACTCCCCGAAATCGTTCTGGGAGGGCGAGAATCCGAGGTGTGACAAATATAGCCAAAACGCTCCTCGCTGTCCCCTGTCTGCTCCACTTTTCGCCACTCTCAGTCCATGCGGGTACAGTCGGAACAGAGCTAAGAGCAACCCAAACTCCCTATTCCATATACGTTGTCAATAGATTCAGAACCCAGTTGTTTTAAAAAATCTCTCTGCAGCGTGAAGCAGGTGCGGTTGAGTTTTTAGTGATGTTGAACAAATGCGCGTGTTGCCTGATGAGCGTCATGATCTGTGGCGTTGACTGCGGGGTCGGAGCTAGCTGAATTGCCTGACAGCTGAGATGCAACTTATGGCAACTCATCAAGTTCCATGCGAGAAGTCCAGGCCGGCTGTTAACAGTTCTTCCTCAGTGTATTTCGCCCACTGTAGGCACCTGCCAGAGCCTTTCTGAAACCAGAACAGACCTCGACCATCTAACTCTTCCTGGTGTTTTCAGGTATTGTGCTAGGGTCTTCGATACGCGAACTTCGGTAACGGGATGTCACGAAGAGCTGTGTTGATGTCGTTGAGCGCAGGCGTGACAGAGGGTGACTTTCAGTCGGGTGTTGAAGCTTGTACGAGTAGGCCCTAACCAGAATGTCTCCTCAAGTCGCTAATATTACTGATAAGCTGTCATTGACGACCAAACGAACGACCAACCTCTTCCGCCAACCGCTACCGCATCTCAACCCACAGCCAGGGTGAAGCATGCCTCATCGTCTAAGCCATCCCCGCGAGATCTGAGGCGTAAGGTGTATTGGTACACACACCTCGATCCAAATAACAGAAATCGGGCGCGGTCGAATAACGTGAGGGATACAAACGGAGTGCAGAGAGGTGCTCATGAGCAACGCACTCATTCTAACAGGCTGAGTGAGAACACAAGGAGCAACCTGCAAGGCCGTACCTCGCATGCTCAAGTCATTCCCAGTTCTCAATATCTTCCAGCGCCAACTATACAGATCTACAACGTCCACTACCATTCCGAGGTAACGCCATACCACGTTGGTCTTGAGCCATACGCACCTGGCCACTTCCCACGAGTTGTTCCCAACCAGTTGCAAAATTCGAGACCAATACCCTATCCTAGCGCTCGGCTGATCGTCGCGCATGGCGTTCATGAACAAGCCGTAGGCTCGCAGGGCCGACCACAATCGCAAATACAAGCACAGCAACAGGCCCTCGAAACAGCTTCCGCTGCAACACAGCAACAGGGCTTTAATTTCAGTGCACGACCAATTGCTAGCTCCGGTCATAGCAACTTCCCTCATGTGGGTGTCGCCATTACACCTCCCTCGAGCGCCAACGCCGAGCCGAGACCGATCACGCGAACGCAAACTTTGCCAGCTCGGACGACCTTGGAGCCCAGCAGATCTCGTTGAGTCTTGCCATAATCCATCTAAGTGTGCTTTGCTCAAAACCCGCAGCTTCCTAAACACTAACTCTTGCCATAGATTGCCGCGAATGTCGTCGTCAGTCGATCCGGGTTACACGTTTGCTCGATTCCATTTCTCTTAGGCGTTCCAGACGTTTCAGTTACCGATACATTTTTGATACGCGATACAGACCGGCCCGCGTGGAGATTGGATCACTGGCACAAGATCGGACAGAAGAGGGAGATGACAGGCATAGATGACGTGAGGGAAGACGTTGGCATTTTGTTCTAGTGTGCGGGACGGACGGAGGTTAAGTGGAGATCAGACCCTGTCTCGGCATTGGCGCCGATCAATCAAATTGCGCTACCAATCTCGGAGAGTTGCTTATTCAAGTGAGCGTGATTCGTCACCGATGTTGATAGCCGTTATCGTGTAACAGTGTGCCCGGTCTATACTACACACGGCAAGGCTGCAACGGGCGTTAACAGTCCGCCGATCACAGCGGAGACTATCATGTCATACCCTGTAGGCCTTAAGAGCTTGGATCTTCCTGCTGAATCACAGCTGCAAAAATCTCGACGTGCAGGTTGCCGCGAGCCCACTGCGCAATAGTTTCCGCGGTTCTATCGTTCCTGGCAACCCACTGAGTCGACTTCAGGCCAGAGCTTAGGTTGCAAAACTTGTCTTCGGTAATGTTGGAGTGTTTGTTGCCTTGAACATAACTAGTTACAACTGGGTATTTCAAGATATGGACCTTGGGGACATCGCTGGAACCGTATTGTCGAAGTCTTTTAAGAAAAGTCGTCTTTACTTTCCGGCAACGCCATACGGATTCTTGGAAAAGATGAGGCCACCACAGCTCTTCAGTGCGCAATGTCGTGGTTGATTGCAGTGGTGTCGCGATGCGAATGATCGAAGTCACCTCATTTGGGCATCAAGTTGCGGCGTAGCGACGATATATATCTGCTGTTTCGTATTCCGTGGTGAAATACCAAGCACGGCTGCTGGCGTTGAAATCTCCACCGGGGGAAGACTCAATAGTAGCCGTGTTAATATTTCCATCGTACTCTACAAATCTCTCGCCAGGAACTTGAAATTCGGAGAGACATTTGCCTATGTAGAGGACAAGATGGTTCTTAGGTGGCGTGAGAACTGATTCACCAAAGTTGCAAATGGATGGCATATGGAATCCGCCAGCACTTATGCCACTGTGTGTCATGTCGGATTATTGAGAAAGTTGAGCCTCTTTGCCGCCAAAAATATCTTCCCCCTTGGGATTTTTCTTCTGTTGCTTGGCGAAGGATGCCCTTTCTGCGGATTTCTTGATTTTCTCTTCGACGAATAGAACATAATTGAAACGCATTCGCAGCGTGTCGAAAGCCCAATAAAAAGGGGTTTGCGTCTCCAAAGTTTCTCGGAATGTCGGACTGAGAATGGCGGCGATGGTGTCTGCTGTCAATCCGACGCTGGTGAACGCATCCGCGGTTGGGAGGTTCTCAAACCTGGTATTTAGTTGCGGCAGATGTCCTCGAATGAACCAAGGCAATTTAGCTTCTTCTTCATCCTCTCGGTCATCAATCTGGGCTGACTTGAGATTGTCGAAGATACGCTGTGCTGCATTTCTGTCTAGGCCGATGAACTCAAGTGCTTCCACGTTTACTAGGAAAGCGGAATACACCAGGTCAGGCAAATCAATCGGCGGAGATGTCCAATTTGTGGAGACGTTGCGAGTGGCCGAAGAGATGGAAGAATTGGACGCGCTGCTTCCCGACAAGAGGAACACGGTGAGAGGTAGCTCGAGCTTCCTTTTCGCTTGGAGGAGCAGATTCGTTCCACGTGCTTGTGCTCATAAAGCGCGTCATATTGTACTAGAAAATCTAGCACAATAACCGAGATTATTGAAGTCGAGGCCAAGGTTTTCGACAGGATGAGACTGTTCACGCGCTTGGTGCTCCACAAGACTTAGAATAATTATTCACGTACCTCCTTGACAGAGTTCGATAGTAGCAAAAGGGAGATTTGAGTGGGTTAATTCTATCAATCAGTGCTGCAGAAAATAAGTATACTGTAATCATCAGATAAGCGTGATTCTTAGAGTTCATCGTGGAGTTCATCTCAGCAGAAAGACCGAAGCGATCTCAGTCTGAGGAGAAGTGTACCAGAATTGAGTCAATCAAGCTATATTTAGTTAAAGTTTCAGATATGCTTAAAGTTCAGAGATGCTTAGAGTTAATAGGGTAGCGGGCTCGCTTATCTGAAATATTACGCGTACACTTACGTAGGGATTCGCGGTGAAGAGCACAGCCCCTCACTTCAGATACTCAACTCCATAAGTTCAAGCAAAATGAAAATCATCAGCTCTGTGTACCGATATCGAAAGCCTCTTCTACATTCACGGATACTGCACTGCCTCCGGTAACAGAAATGCCATTCGACTTCGATGCATATGAAAAAAAATGCTCTCAGATGTCACCGGAGGAACTACATCTCGAATGGAATCACTATACACGTCTTATCAGCGGCGCAGCCGCCTCAGCTACTCTTGGTGGATCAGCACTTGTGTTTACTGGTGGCATTAGTATAATTGGAGTTGCCATTGGGTCCGCAGGCTTTTACAATGCTCGAAAGAAGCGTCAAATCCTCAAACGACATCTTGACCAAGAATATCGCAAGAATCGTAAGCGAGATATGGTGGGATCGGCGGCCTTCAACGGTGCTGTGGGACTGACGACGCTCGGATTGGGGACTCTGGGCGCTGAGAAAGTACTGGAGATGGGCATTGAAAATGGGGTTTTTGGACGCGCAGCTGAAACGGGAGTCAAGGTTGCAACAGGAGTGGTAGTGAACGGAGTCAACACGGCTGCCGATAACAGATATCATACATATAAGAAAAAGAGAGAAGCTAAACGCGCCGGTCTAGTTGTCGAGAGAAAACACAAGGACGGGCAAAAGAAGCGCAGTTCAAGGGTGGTCGGTTCAATCGATCAACGTTGACTAGGAGTGGAGATATCAATAAGGAACGTATTCAGCTTCTATATAACTGTCAGACTATTTATAATCGGACAGGCTAAGGTAACAAGATTGTATTCGATAGAGAGCTAAGCTCTTAGCTATGTAGCTATCTATATACAATGCTGGTTGCTGGAAAAGCAATTGGGCTGGGTAGGTGGAGTAAACGAGGTTCTAAACGAGTATGGGAGGCGAAGGGCGTTTAGCCTATTACAGTCGCGTTGGCTTAGCCTAAGTTATTGCTTCTGCGGCCTGGTATAGGCTACCACATGTTGTGAGTTGAAGCAATGGTGGAAATCTTATTTGACGAATTGGAGTGTAGATAATAATAGACTAGCAACAAGCTTGCTGTATAGTAGAATTAGCATTTCTAGTCCCTAGTTTCTATATTTGTTTAAGACTTACACTGCATCCACTGCCGCAGTTACCTGGGCAAGCACAGGGCGGAGTAAAGCTGTTTTTGCAGCATGAAGCGTATTGTCTAGCAATGAGCTCGGTATCTTTGATGCTGCGGATAGTGTTGTCCTTCTGTAGGATATTAAGTGCGAGAGAACTAGCACAAAGTGCGGATATAACTATGAGAAACTTCATGATTAGTTTCGTAGAAATTGAGAGTATTATAAGTGTGTTGTATGGTGGTTTAAAAAGATGAAAGCAGTGATCACTTTATATTTGGAAAAGTCCTGGGGTCATATTCGTCTCTGGACTTTTAGAGCACACGCACGTGCTATAGTTATGGCGCAGCATTGACGTAAGCTTCGTGTCGGCATGTCAGCTTGCCATAGAATTTTAGCGCCGTACCATGGGCGGCACACTACTATGCTACATGGCAGAAATAATGTATGTGGGCCACT